TTAGATCTGCAATCTAATTTTCCTACATTAGACCTTGAGGGCAAGGTTGCTCTAAAGGAAGGGGGGATTGTCAAGACTGCTGGAACAGACCAACAGAAGGCAGTTAAGCAGTTTTACAAGAGGAGGCCACGTCAGCACAGCTAACCATCCACTTGTAACAACTGCCATCCACTTGTAACAACTGTAACAATCAAGATTGTAAAACTATAAGTAGTAGAGCAGGAAAGGGAATAGGACATTGATTATTTCAGCATTAAACTCTCTCTCCCTCTCTCTCTCTCTCTCTCTCTCTCTCTCTCTTTTCCTCTCTCTTCTTCCAAGAATTCAGGAGGTTGGCCCCTCAAAGAGCCCTGAGTTAGGCAGGTTCCTAACAGTTCCATACATGCAACCAGGGTTCTGATCCTCCCAAATCTGGAGATGTGCATTTGAAGTGTTGTATGAGCATAATACCAATTAGGTTGAAAGGAAGGCCAGCAATGTAAAGTATGATGTTCTTTTTGGTAATAGAACTGAATTCTGGGAGGATCTTTGGGGGGGGGGATATGACTCTTAGGGATGTATTTCTAACATTCTAACCTAGTATCTGTTATATTTGAACAAAGAAAAAATAGTATCCCAGTGTGTTTCTCTTTTTGAGCTGGGATTGGTTTGGGATTTGGGTCTTAGGAGAGGGTTAAGGGATTCTGAAGCTTTGTTACCTGGACAAGGCTGGATACATTGTCTGATATGAAATTTACACTAAAAATTGATCTGGCATGATACAGCACCCTTGTACAGGTATTGGGTATCATAGTTTGCAACACAGATGAAAGAATTTGGATTGTTTATCCTACTAGTAAGTCTAGTATCTTTACTTATTCTTCCTTTTTCAAGTACCTAACCAGTAATCCTGTCTCTCTCTCGGGTTCTCTTGTAGATGCCATTTGGAAAGAACAGGTACCACCTAATAGTAGAGCTTTCTGTTGGGAGGTATAGCAATGTTTGTGAGAACTGAGAACATTCAAAGAAGGCCCAATTGGCACTAAATACACTGTTTGTGGAACAAGTGAAACTAAGTCTCATTTAATAATCTCCTATCTATATGCATCCAACATTTAGGAATTTTTCTTTGCTTTGTGTGGCTACAAGTGGAATCAGTTGGGGATATTGGTAGTTTGTTGAGGATATCTTTCTTCTCTCTGCTGAAAAAAGGGGGAAATGTGGAGATGCATAAGGGCAACAATCCCATTGGGTGAAACCAATGAAAGTGTTAAATGTTTCCATTTGATGACATTGCAAGGAATTGGAAGGTTGTAGCATGCTCTTTCATGATAAGAAATATTACAAACATCCCATGATGACATTGTGAGGAATTGGCAGGTTATAGCATGCTCTTTCTTGATAAGAAACATACAACATCCCATGGCTCCCTTGAACTGCAGCTTTGATGGTTGCAGTTCAAGGAACCCAGGAGTCTCAAGAATTGGGGGAGTGTTTAGAGATGCTAATGGTAACATACTAACCCTATTTTAGGGACCTATCAGTCATTGTGATTTAATTTTGGCTTAATTGCGGCCTGCCATGGTCTGAGATTGGTTGTCTCTAAACTACATAGATATAGTGTGAAAAGAGATTCAAATATAATTGTGAGGTATCTTTAGATGAAATTGGATGAACAGATTATTTTGAGATCAGCCAACTTCTTGGTTAATGGTTTGGCTAAACAGGGAGCAACTAGAAGTCTATTGTATTGGGGTTTAGTCCGCCAAGATGGGGTTCTGTAAATTCTGTACAGTAGGGGTTAGCTAGAGCTAGCAGAAAGAAGGGGTGCTTGGCAGACATATATTGTAATTCATTATTCCCAAATATTTTAATAAAGCATTTTGATTGTTACTTATAAAATGAGTAATAATCAAAGTGGTGTTGGCACGTGCACCTTCTCATAAATACACAAACTGATGCAAGTTGATGGCTATGGAAGAGTTAGGGGAAGGATAAAAGGGACATGGGTTGAGATTATGATAAGTGATATGAGGCTCAGTTTTTGACAAAAGATATGGTCCTTGATAGAGTAGAATAATGAAACAGGATTCTTGTAGCTGAATCATATAGTTGCAATAAAACTTCATTAAGTTATAAAATAGGTTAATTCATTTTTCTGCAACAAGGCAATTTTGGCAATGCTTTCCTTCATTGTTACTCAAAAGTATATTGATCTTGATTGGCACTGCAGCTTCCCTTCCATAGTTCTATGAGAATGGGGCTGTGCATCTATAGGCTTTCTGGCTCATGCTTGATAAGGCAAAAAGAGTTCTTTGCTGTTCTCTTGCAAATCCTGATTTTGTCTTGATCATACTTTCTAGAATTCTGAGAAGGGCCTTGTTGGTGGTTTGTACTTGCTCATCTTCCTAGGGATAGGTTTGGGTTTGAGCAGTGAGAAATGATTCTTAACTTTCTTCTAAGTTTTAGACCTTGTGGTTTGCAAAGTTTCTGCTATGCTGTGAATTTCAGCAATTGATTCTTAACTTTGGCCTGCCCTTTTTTTCTTATATCTTTTTCCTTCTATATCTTGCTATTTAATGGATTGACTTGATTTGATTTGATTGTTCAGGTGTAAAAGAAGATGAAACGAAGCATTTGGTGCACCTTACCACCCATCAACTTGATGCTGTTAGGTGGAACCTCAGTAACCAAGATGAGGTTTGAATTTCATTTTATTTTGATTTTTTATCAGCATTTTATTTATGTAGTTTAAAGATCTCCTAGCATTTTCAGATCATGTATTTATAAGAAGGTGGACGTGCCAACACCACCTTGATTATTACTCATTTTATAAGTAACAATCAAAATGCTTTATTAAAATTGTTAGAATGTTAGAGTGATGTTCGGCTGATAAGAGTTCTTATTAGCCCATTCTTATGTTTAACTTATCTTGTAACTGGGCTTATGTTAATGGGCCTAATCCTGTTTAATGATTTAAGTYATCTGGGTGTCCCATCACTAATCAGGGGCATCCCAGTAATTTCTTGTACCTTGTACTATATTCATCTATAAATAAAGAACTGGTCGACTGGCTAGGATAGTTCGACATTTTCAGCATCTCTTCTTCTTCTCCTCTTCTCTGCTACTTCAACTACAGTGGTTCAGCTTTCAAAAATATTTGGGAATAATGAATTACAATATATGCCTGCCAAGTATCCCTTCTATCTACTTGCTCTAGCGAACCCCTACTGTATGCAATTTACAGAACCCTGTCTTGGGGATTAATACAATGGATTTATATTCCCATTTGATAAAAGTTACCTAATGATTCCCTGAAACAAGAAAAATGCATCATTCCACTATTTAGTTGAACTTGGAGTCATGGGTATCAGTGCATATCAATATGGCCAATACTCTTTCTTTTTTTTTTTATTTTATAATAATGGGGGGGGGGGTGGAGAAGAGGTCCAAGACCTTTTAAAATTATCAAAATGTGTGTATTGGTGTCCAAGCATATCTAAGTACACCGATACCAATATAATACACCCAATACAGGGTGTACAGTATCAATATTTTAATCCTTGTCTTAACTAAACTAATTCAGCCCACCTATAGGTTTGGGCCTAGAAGACTAGCTTGGAAAGAAAGACTTTATAAACTGTGACTGGGAGTAGTTTAATAACCTGCTCCCAATCCAGCAAATTTTAAGGATTCAACACTATGTCTCTTGGCCTAACAGTGCTATGCACTCAGCTACGTGGATGGTTTGGTTATTCAAATTAGTTATCTATTCCCAATTAAGCACAATTAATTGGAAGGTCCTGGAAATTATGTGCTATTTTGGTTACCCAACTTTTGACTGATCTTGATGTTAAATGTTCTCTTGTTTTGAATAAGAACTTAACTTGCAATTTAGTTGTTGTTTACTTCTCCAGGTTGCTTGCTCATCTATGCAAAGCAATGAAATTCTTCTATATGATATAGGTTACATCTCTTCTGAACCAATTGAGGTAAGTCTCTCATTATTTTGGGTGTTTGTATCATGGTATTGTTGTACCTTAACAGATTAGATGAAGCAATTTACTATCTATGTTTGGAACTAGGTAGAACTCTCAAAAAGCCTTCTAGAAGTAGACTTTTTGAACCTCAAGTTTGACCTGAATTTTGAAAATAAAACAACTTCTAAAACTAACGTCTACCAAAATAAATAATAAAAACAACAGCTTCATACTTAAAAAACTCAAAAAATAGAAAATCCCATGACAAATCCATTTTCTATTTCATGAATCATCCATAACTTGCTCAATTATTGTTCAAACTCATAGTCTTGGTCTCGTTGCAATTTTATCTCTATTTTCTGCTTGAGGACTAAAATTAAAAAAATGAGGAATAACTTTGAGTATCATCTCTTTTATGGTCCACAGCAATATAACTGAATAGTACAAACATCAATCAGTTTACAGTTTGCTGAAAACATAACAAGTCAGTGGTTTAGCTTTAGAAGAACCTATTTTCGCTAGAAATTAATCCACCAGTAGGAAAGCCAACATGTTTATTAGTTTGATGTCTACTTATAATAACATTTTGGTCCAACCCATTACATATTAACTATGAGGTTATTTGGAGTTGCATCTAACAAAAAGGTAAAGAAAATTAAGAAAGTTTGTAAGAGAAGTAAAGGGGGTCATTTGCATGCCTCTGAAGATTGTAGTTTGTCAATTGCTAGGGATTTTGGTGCTTTTGTTGTTAGATTAAGATTGTAGTTTGCTGTTGGTTTTCTTGGGTTGATTTTCTGTTTGGGGTGTTTTTGGGCAAAGGGCTGTTTTTCTTTATTCTTTCAGGTAAGTTCTGGTCACCTTTCTTGTATTCTCTTTTCTTTTAGGGTAAAAGAATTGAACCTCCCCTGAGGTTTCTCATAAATATTTATTCCTGTCCTCTGGTTTCTGACAAGACTTAAACCTCCCCTGTCACGTTATATTTGACAGAAATCAATGAAAAGATCTTTCTACCCTTCTGCCATATTTAGATTTGTAAGAAAACCACCAATGTATAACCTGAGGAAAGAAAGAGATGGGATGGTTCTATCCACAAATGAGGTGGAAGATGGGTTTTTGAGTACAGCCAAAAGGTGAAAAAATAAGTGAAACTTGATGGATTCTAAGGAAAGAAAAACCATCAGATAGCAAGCGATGGAAATGTGAGATGGAGCAATCTCTGCACTAAATGAGGGCGGGTTGTACCGTATTGCATTGGTGTTAAGTCTTGGCTGCAAGCATATGAATGAAGGTGGTTGAGAGTTGAGACATAGTTAAAATATATTTGTGAAGGTGCTGCCAAAACATGTCCCTTATTTGCTTTGTCTTTCCAAAAACCTGTGATGGAAAATGAAATCAAGAGCCCTGCAAAGTTTTCAGTGAAGTTGAGTTTGTTGCAGAATAAATGCAAACTGGGCAAGAGAGATGGAGAAGACCAATATGCATGCAAGATGGCAAGGGGCCAGTTTTCTTTCATTCTCTCTACCTACCTCCTACTCTGCCTCTTTCTTGCCTCAATTATGAATTTTTTCTTTTTTCATCTTTGTCTTCTCTCACCATGCATTCACAACTGAAAAGAAGCAAATAATAATGGAAACTAATAGCTTCCTCTGCATTTTTTTTTTCTATTTTGGTGTTTAAGACGGAGGCATCAAGGAAGCTAACCTTTTTTTTCCTTGAATCTGTATCCAAGTGATGAAGCTCGAGTTTTCTTTTCAATGAGATCTGGTTTATGGTGATTAAAAGGGGCGCATCCATTCTACATTGACTTTTATTTTTCTTCTTTCTGATTTTTATTTTGTGCAGCTTCCTTCTACCATTTCTATCTGTTATATATGGTCTTACTTTCAGCAAGTCATTAAACACGACGAACTAAGGGGTAAATTTGGGTAATTGAGTTTCTCAAATATTTCACTCAATGTGTAAATGGGTTTACAAGAAACATCAAGGGAGGTCTTAGTCCATTTTGAAAAGAGAGGGGAGGTTTCGTGATTTACAAGAAACATCAAGGGAGGTTTAAGTCTTTCACCCTTTCTTATAATGAAAATTTTATTTTATTACCAAAAACAAATATTAACTAGGTGGTTTTTTGTTAATTCCTGGCTGTTCATAAATTATAATTTCCATAAATTTAGAAGTGGTACAAAATGTATAGCAACAAGTCCTAATATATATTTTTTATTATAGGTTATATATCAAACTTCTGCTTCTAATAATTTTTAAATTGTGCAAAGAAAATTCAATTCTTTTGTTGTTGATTTTGCTTGTCAATGATTTGTGCAGACGATTACCTTGATCTTTTCTTGGAGAACTAACAACTTCTTTCCACCTGTACTTTGGATAGTCTTTGGCTCCTTAGCATATTAGTAACAAAGCTTTGTGGTCCATCAACCAATATTGACTGAAAAAAATGAAATTTCATGATCCTAATAATATAGCCACTTAAAGTAGGATGTGAGGAACATGTCATCTTGATCTTGTTAGTTCACACATCTAGTGCAGTTGGCTAAGTCAATACAAAATCACCATGCAATATGTCTTGAAGCATGATCATAAATATTTGTTATGTAAGACTAATTCCCAATGCTTGTTTTGATTCCTTCTATCAATAGGTGTTAAGAAGGAGGCCTACCATCACTGTGCATGGATGTGAAGTTCGCAAAGGTTTATCTGATATTGCTTTTATTTCAACTGACAAGTCAAGGTTGGTATGTTTTGGTTCAAATATGATTACTTGCGCAAGAATTACTTGTTATCTCATTGGATCAAGTAGGTTTATTGTCCTTTATGTGATGGCATGATCATCATATTTTCCCGACTTTTTTTCAAATTCATTTCTTTCTTGGCAAGGCATGGTCCTAGCAAGGAGAACAGCCACTTAGTTTTACTAGGGTATTTAATGGAATTTCATAGAATAGCTAGCAATTTTTGGAGTAATCACATGTAGACCTGTTCATGAGCTGGGCTTGGGCTTGGCTTTTTGTCAAAATTCTAATGAGCCCAGCCCGAAGCCCAAGCCTGACACTGTAAAATCAAGCCCAAAGCCGGGCCCATGAACAGGTCTAGTCACAAGGAAATCTCTGAAGATAAGAAGTCAATATTATGTTGTTAATTGTGCTAATGCTGATTGCTTTCACTGCCAAAAGTTATACTTGTGTAAAAAGGGCAACCCAGTGCATGAGGCTCCCGCCAATGCAGGATCTGGGGAGGGAAAGATGTATGCAGCCTTACCCCTGCATATACACAGAAAGGCTTTTTCCAATATTTGAACCCTGGTTACCCAGATCTAATGGAGCAACCCAACCATTGCGACAAGGCCCACCCTCCCAAAGTTATACTTGTGTAATTTGTCTGAATGCTGACTGAATTTTCTTTGGTCATCTGTTTGTTTCTTTTCCCTGGAATGTTGATGTGCTTTTCATATTAGTTGATTGTGCTAACTGGTCTTACGTTCACTATCTTTTGTATAGGTTGCTTGCCTCTGATGTATATGGTGTTGTCAATATATGGGACCGACGGATAAGTAATCTCCCATGTCTTGAGCTTATGGCTAACAACCATGATACTCTAAATAGCATCAAGTTAAATGTGGAAAATCAGGTTTATATTGAAATCAAGAACTCTACGTTACATTGAATTGATAAGTCTGCCATATGCATTTTCATGCAAATAAGATACATCCTACATCATCTCTTTGATATATCACTTCAGATTTTTTTTTTTCAGTTTAGTCCTTTGCGTTGTTGGAATAATTTTCTGGTTGACATAGAAATTCCAGAATAAGCTTGTAAGGTCCAAACATGAAAGAACTCTCTTTTGTGAACATGCCAAACCTTGCCATCTTCTTTCTTCTGGTATTGAAACATTAATTATTTTAATATATTAAGATGCAATTGGGTGGCTTTAAACAGAACGGAATGGTGAAACAGGATTCATGTAGCTGACCCCATGTAGTTGGGATAAGGCTTGGATGATGATGGTGATTAAGATGCAATTAGAAAAATAACTGGCTTTAATGTTTTGCATTCGGCATATGATATACTTGTGTAGGACTTAATGTGCTGCACACTGAATCATCTGCATTATTATTATTAAAGGAGAAAAAGCCACCCTCAGCATAACCATAGCAGGTGGACAAACTTACAACAGACCCTCTACACAGGCCAAAAAAAGAGTACAACAAGAAGAACCCAAAGAACAGAACAGAAAAACAGAAAAAAAAACCCTTCTTGTAAGTTACATCCCAGGCCTGGGCAACCCCAATCCAGAAAATCCTTTCCTACCCCCACCTTGCCAAAGAATCAGCTAACATATTTACACTCCTGGGTACCCAGGTGAGTGAGATGTTCAAACTGGCACCCAAGTAATGGGCAAGGTTCAAAGTATCAACACGATACACCCAATATGGGCACATCATATCATATCTTTGGGAGTTGATACACCTATTTACAGGTGTTTTCATAAACTGTTTTTTTATTACATAATATATATATATATATATAACTGAAATTTGAAAAAAAAAAGGTTAAAGTATTGATACACCTCTGCCAATACACAGAGGTACACCAATACTTTGAACCATGGGATAGAGCTAATCTCACCAACAGCCTAAATTGCGAAGGTATTTGTTCTTGAGAATTCATCCATAAAATGACAGCTGGCAGTCCCCCTCAACGACTATGTTCATTAACCCCTGCTGAACGATCAGTTTAAGGCCTTGAATTAAAGCTATCAATTCTTTCCTTGGGGAGATTCCAAAACCAGCTGGTCCTGAGTAACTAAGAATTACATTGCCACCAGAGTCCCTAACCACTCCTCCCACTCCAGAATTCACAGGATTTCCAAGACAGCACACGTCAAAGTTTAGTTTATAGCTTCCTTCTCCAGGTCAACTCTATTCCACTACCCTTTGTTGTACCCTGTTATTAAAACCCACAATAATGTTCCAACCTCTTAGCAGGTCGTCAGACTTAACCCATTGAATTCTTTGCTGATCTGAGCCCAATGTGCAACCCTTACAGTTGTAAATTCAATCAACTTCTTCACTTCTTTGTGTTTTTCTTCAAAAATTCTGTCATTCCGTTCACACCACAAATCCTACAACGCAACCCCTCTTACACACTGCCATAAAATTCTTCCTTCGAGTAGAGATCTCATTATATGTGGTTTAAAAAGGTCCACCACATCAGAGGGTGTGGTCCACACTTCTCCCACCAAAGAGATAAAATGTTGCCAAACCCAAGAAGCATAGGGGCACAGCAAAAAGAGATGGTTGGTACTCTCCCCATTCTTCCAGCACAGAACATAAACATGGGGAGAAAGAGACCAATTTTTACACTTCCTTTGGAGTCTATCACAGGTGTTCAAGATTTTCTTAGCAGGGGGAATTGTGCTGGATGCCTGGACCACATTTCTTAGCAGGGAAAGACAGGTTTTTGTCTTGGTTAAGGACCCTAAAAAAGGAAGAACAAGTGAAATTGTGTTTAACAGATGGAATCCAAACCCTCTGATCAACACCCAAAGGAGTTAGGACAATGTCTTGAAGTAAACATATATTCACTTTTGACCTGGAAACTAATGAGTAGGGCTGTTCACGGGTCAGTTCAGTTCGGTTACACAGTATTTTGGAAACCGAACCAAACATCTCGGGTTGGCTATTATGCCAACTGAAGCCGACTGAAAAGTAGCACAAACTGACCTATAATAATTCTGTCGGATTTTCAGTTTGGTTGGTTTAAACTGAACCGAGATCTCTTGGATTCCAAAAGGTGGAGGTCTGGTCAGAGTTCGGACTCCAATTTTATGATTCAGGTTGTCTCTGGTAAGTGTTCTCCCCCTTGGAAATTGTGGTACTGGCAGACTTGTTTTCAACAGCTGACTAAAGGGCTGGAGATCCATTGCTCTCATACCTATCATGAAGGAAATCGAGTAGCTGACAGTCTTGGTAACCTTGCCTGTAACACGGCGGCCCACACTTTCTTTGACCATTTTGATAATCTGCCTCCTAGCATCCGGTGTCTGCTTTTTGATGATGGTTCTGGTATTCTGTACATTTGCGTGTAGCCATTTTTATTTTCTCCTCTTTGACACCTTTGTTTACTACGAGTTGAAGGGGATTTGTATAGCTTTTCAGAGGGGTAAGGTATTTATGTCCCCTCCTCCTAGTTTTTTCTTGAAAATTAATAAAATATACGGTGGCCACCCCTCCACTGCGAATGTTTGGGGTTAAAAAAAAAGATATGTTGGATCTTTTTTTTTTGTATTTTTTTGCAGTCTCTTGCAGCTTGCTTTGGGTTCCGTGTGAAATGATGTAGAAAATTTAAAAGAAAGAAGACAAATCATTATGGATCGTAAGTTTTATGACAATTGTTTAGACAAGTAAAATAAATTCATTTGAATATTTTATTCAAGTATCAAAATACAAAGTAATGAAAAAAGTGACAGAATTAAATAATGGATAGGGGTTATATGCATTTGCCTAGAAATGGTATAGGCCTAGGGGGTAGGGGCTAGGATTTCAGACCTACTTGTATAAAACAAAATGGTAGGTCATGTCACTGTCTTGAGATATGTTAGAAAAAGTGGTTTAGAATTTTTACTTTTATGGGAAATGAGGAAAGTGGGACATATGAGAGAGAAAGAGAGAGCTGACTTGATTTTAACAGCTATAACATATCCCACTATATATAACGATTCGGGTCAGTTTTACTCGGTTTATAAACTCATAAACTGCAACCCAAACCAATCAGTCAGTTCATCTATATCTTTAAACTGAGACCAACCGGAAATTTAAGAAAACCGGCCAACTCGGATCGAGTTGGGTTGGTTTGACCCAACTCATGAACAACCCTACTAATGAGATGATATTGGTGATATTAGATGATTCCCTTAATCATCTGCATTATATTAAACTCATATTCACTTTTGACATGGAAAAATAAGGAAATGATGATGTGATGATGGAATGGTGATCCCACATATAAGGTTGTGACCATCCGTAGATGGTTACCAAAATAAATTAATGAATCAAAACTCTCTTAATATTAAACAGCCTTGGCTTTCAAAAAAAAAAAAAAATGTATACAGCCTTGCCTCAACCATACTAGTATAGTTCCAATTAAGTATCTAATTCTCTTAGAGTGGAATCAGGGGTTTTCTAATGCATTTCGTGAAACTTGATATTTGAAGAATGAACTCCGTCAAATAATTACTTGAAGAACTGAAGGATATATTTGAAGAATGAACTCCTCTTATGAAGGGGGATGGATAAAAGTTGGGTTGGGCTTGGATGAGCATGTCATGTCTCAACTAATTTAATTGACTACATCTTTCTGTAATAACTAATTAACTACACCTTAAATGGTTGAATGATTATGCAATAAAAGGAAATTCTAGATTTTAGGTCCATTAACTTAATTTAAGTCTTTCATTCAATTTTAAGACAAAAGATAACCTAATAAATAATTAAATACATCCTTCAGTTCATCATCATCATCATCCATGCCTTATCCCAACTATATATCCTTCAGTTCTTCTGAACTAATTTCATTATTTTGTTGCTTGTCTAACTCTGTGAGCATGATTCTCATTTTTTCATTAGTGTTCTTATGATTGAATATCTTCTACTCCTAGTCCTCAATCTATGATATACTTGTTTATTTGGTATTTGGGAATGTGCAGAGCAGAATATTAGGAGATCATTCCTTAAATTTGGAGGATACATAATGATCACAATGATGTAACCATTTTTGTAAACTCCCTGAGCTTTTCAAAGAACCTCGTTTCTTTGCTTTCTTATAGGTTGTCTTTGGTGCTGGTAAACATGGGATCATCTATGCTTGGGATCTTCGTGGAGGAAGAACACCTGTTGCTTTTCAAAGTAACAAAGAGGTAAAAAGGGTTAAACATACAATTTTCTATAAAATTTGAATTTCTATTTTATTTGCCTTTCATGTACCATTTTGTTTTGGCAATCCAAAGATGGAATTAATTGTATATAGGGCAGATATGTTTTATGGATAATTAAGCCAAATCTGAAGTTGTGGATTGAGACTGAATTGTTCTAATTTCCAACATTTGATATGTTTTACATAAATAGAAAAACATAGGCATGAATTCACTCTTATTTAAAGGAAAATAAAAGGAGAAACTCTAGATGTTGTAAAATCACATTGCATCTTCTCTCTTGGAGATGGACATGACATGTGTAAACTCAACTGAACCAAAAATAGCCTGATCCTTACTACACGAGATTAGCTATGCAAATCCTACTTAGGCATTCATCCTAGTAGGGTCCATATCATCAGTCAAATTGTGAGTCCTCAAAATTTTTCCCTATATACCAACCCATATCCTTTTTGGTCCTTCCTCTAGCTCTTCTAGAACTTTCAACTTACATCTAATTGCTCCTCACTGGTGTAACTGGTTGTCTTCCATGCACATGGTCCACAAATCTTAGTCGATTGTGTGGGTGTGTGCTGGGTGTTTCAGATATTCTGTTTTAGTATGGTAACATTTTTGGGGAATGGCTGAGTTATAGGTAGGAGAAGACTAATAACTGGAAGAAGAGAGTTTTGGCGAGACACCTTCCTGAGAGTCAAACCCTTTTTTCTCAAGTTGAAGTGGGTATATATAAATAATCAGGGTTGGAGACATGTAAATATGACAAAGAAGTTTGTTATTACAGGTTCCCTTCTCTGTAACCTCAAGGGGTCCTCTCTCTATAGTCAAGTCATCTTGCATAGAATAGAGGACTAAATAATATTAGATCAAAAGAAGCCCCATACCCAATGGTTTTCTTAACCCACTAACCAAAACTTAATGTCCTTATATGTGGATCCCTAATGTAGACCACCCGAACAGTGATTTTTTGCACAATCTCATTTATGGAACCTCTTACTAGTCTATATTTGTAAAGAATTTTATGGTTTTTCTCCTATCTATCCTACATCATGCAAATATGCAGAACTCAGTTGATCCGAATTGACCCTACCATTGCTAGAAACCAAAAGATACATAGATGCACATCCACCACCACACACACAGTATGGAAGATTCTCAGACCTCTATTTGAATGACTTGTTTTTTATGCTAAAAGAGTAGAGATGAAAAAAAAAACATGTCCCATGGGGTCAATATATGACAAATTGGCATTTTAAAAAGTGACTTGGCAATTTAGGAAAGTATAGGTAATAGCTTTTCCTATCCATATACAATATAAACAGTTCCTCTTGTTAATATATGTTTACCTTTTCCACTTACCAAAAATAAATAAATTTTATATTTTTAGGAGCATTGCTACATGACTTCAGAACATGTCCAATGGTCATGCTGTCAGATTTTTCTTTGTGATATTCATACACCACTGGTTATTTGAATCTAGTATAAGTGGCCGTTAGATAACAACTGAAGTGACTGAACTGAATGGATTAATGTTTTGTTTTTCAGTGAACAAATTATTTAGGAAGTTGTGATATCCTTAATAGCTGAATCTGAAGTTGGATTGATTACTATATACTTGATTATTTTATTGTTTAATTATTTTATCTACTAAATCAAAACAATAAGTCATTCAGTTCAGCCATTACCAAATAGCCCCTGAGCGTACAATCTATTCATCATATTTGTTGTTTGATTTTTCCTTTCTCAGGCACGTCACCCTCCATTAACATCTTTAAAGATATCGATGATGTTAGAGAAGATTAAGTCTTTGAAGGTACTGGTTTTCATAATTTCGGTTATTTGTTTTTTTATTTGTTATGGTTTATTGTACATCCCAAGTTCCTGTTCAGCACCCATTCTGGTTGTTCTGTTTTTTTTTTTTTTTATGTGTTATTCTGTTTTAAAATACTTCACTTTTGTACTATATTTAAGTATCTATAGTGTATTTCTGGCATACCATTCTAGTCATTGTAAGTGAAAAGGTATGATCTAAGCTGGATACCCCTTATAGAACCAACCCTCTTTGGCCTATATAATGTGTCTCATAAGTTCTTCCTTTCTGAAAATTTAAGGAGAGAAGACAAAACCCTTTTTTCTTCTGTATGGTCAAGCAGTGTAAGCAAGCAAGACCTGGCATCCCCCCACCCCAAAAAAGAAAAAAGAAAAAAGAAAAAAAGAAAAGAAAAGAAAAGAAAAGAAAAGAAAAGAAAGAAAGAGAGAAAGAAAGAAAGAGAGAGGTAACTTCCTCTACTGTTCCCATGAAAACCAAACCTGGGCTTCCAGGCTGAGCCCACTCAGGGAAGATTCAACAGTGTTTGTATTTCAAACAGTTTGGTCCATCCCTTCAATATAAGATATTGTTGCATGGACTAAAAGGAGCAATGCAATTTTAGCAATATATTGTTTTCAGCAAAGAAATTTCATGTATTTGTGCAAAGGTTTTACATGCTATTTTTCCCATATAAAATTATTGCATTGTTTGCATTGCTGAAAACGATGGGACGCTTTTATGTCATGTGAGTTGGAAACTCTTATTTAAACTCATTAAAATTAGAGTTGATCCTTGAAATAGCCTATACTTTTATGTCTTTCAGGAACAATCAAATATTTTCTCCAAGGAAATACACTCAATTGACATTGACCCATCCTGTCCATATCAATTGGCATTCCATCTTGATGACGGTTGGTAGGTTTTGAAAATAGTTTCAATTTTGTATAATGTTTTCTTATTCTCTTTACTATTTTGTATCATGTTAATTCATGTCAAGTGTTGTATGCTACTGATTCTGTTCTGTATAACATATGCATGGCTTTTTTATATCTTCTCTGTAACAATTAATGCTTTCCCAGTTCACTAGCATATGCAAACTCATTGAGGAAAAGAAAGGGAATTGTGGATACCAAATACCAAAATGCACGGTCTGTAAGTTGATTTTATTAAAGACCTAAAGTAATGAAAGGGAAAAGGTATCATAATGGCCTTGAAGAAGTAAAGTATAATGTGAGAAAAATGGGTATGGTTTTAAATAGTTTATTTAACCTCTAACTCTCACAAGTACTGGAAGATTTTACCAATTGATTGCATCTTGGTAATAAATTGACTTCCAAGTGGTAATGCTGCTCATTAGAAGCACTGCATAGAGTATTGAGGATGGAAAGCTGTTGTTTACTATGATTGTTTTCTCATGACCAGATTCACCAGAATTTCAAAACTCTTCAGAATGTCATTTGTTGTCTCTGTTTCCAATGTCAAATACCTGTGGTTCTGTGTCTTTATCCATCCTAGATCAACTTAACCTTCCCCAAATCCATGGTTTGACTGAAAGAATGTGAATACTTTATTATCAAATTGTTGAACATTGTGAACTTATGTTTGATAACTATTTTCTTTCAAAGCTTGTCTGCAAATATGCAATATTGACTTTAAGTTCATTTTAATTTCTAACAGAAAACTGCAAATGCAAATTCTGTTAAGTTCACTGACTTCTCATCAACTATATTCGAGTTGGATTGCAAATGTAAAACATCAAATCCTTGCTCATTGCAACCATTCATTTAGACTGATTAGAATCAGTTCTTTTACTGTCTGGATATGTATTAGGCATGATGTTAACATATGGCCACCATGTTTTAATAACATCTTAGTTGAAGTTGTTTTTCTAATCCTAGATGGTACCATAAATGAAATGGAATCCAAATATGGGATAATGTGCTTCCATTAAAACATATCACTGGAATTTAATTTGCTTCTTTTGTTCTCTTCATCACTTACATAGGTCAGGTGTTTTGGATACAAATAGTTTTCAAGTGACACATGTGCATTGCCCACCCCCTGCTTGGTTGTAAGTGAAATCGAGCAACTTTTCACATGAATTGACAGTTTAACTGCAATATATTGTCCGTTCTCTAAAACTAACTGGTTACTTTTATGACTTTGTGGGGGCTAGGGATGGATCAGAGACATCAATCAATTGCTCATACTTGAGAAAACCATCATGGCTACCAACATGTTCGGTAGGAGTTTTCAATATGCGATTTATCTTGTTGATATCATGGTTCTTCCAGCTAGTTATGTCTATATCTGTATGTGATTTCTTTTTTTTTTTTTTTTGCATAATATAAAATAATTTGATATTTAAGGGAGTAGTGTATACCTACCCTGAAAGAAAGAGCCTTTTATGATCTTTCTTTCCTCTTCAAACATTGAATTCAACACCTCATGTCCAAGGTTCAAAGTATCAATACACCCAATATGCACGAACATGCATATCGGGCGTTTCAACACTATCAAACATTATGCTTTTTTATTTGTTTCCTTTGATATTTTAACAGGGGCTGTTTTAGCAGTAACATTTAAAAACACAAATTTCTTGAAAAGCCTTGAAAAATGGTGTTTCGGTGAGCCCTTGATATGGGTGTATCATATCAAAATTTTGAATCCTGCTCATGCCACCTACCCTTAAAAGAAAGAAAAATGGACAAGATAGATGGAAAGGATGCTAGTCTTGCTAGATAGTTTCAGGAAAAGTAGTAGCTATTGTCAATGTGTTTCATCTGCTTGTAAATTATTAATTCAATTTCACTCTTTGAGCATTTAAGTTGAGGACATTAAATATTGTTTCAAGGAAATGACTAATCATTCTCGTGTGTTTCGTCTGCTTATGATCTTTTGTTACTTGCACCAACAAGGGAAGCACACAATACTAATGTAGCAACAACAAATGAACAGTAAACTAATTCCCACTGGTTCTCCAAATGAAAATAAATGGAATTAAACCAAATTCAACCCCATTTTTCAACTTAATTTAGATAGTAAACACTCAAATTGACTGCTCCTGATCTTCCAAATCATACACCAAAAAGGTATTATGTGGAGAAATTAGAATTGTAATGATTTATCTGGTGGGGTAATAGCATAGGGCAAGTCAAACTTTGCATGCCTTATGTTTGTCCTCCGTTGAGTAGCTATTTGAGAACTTCTCATTGGCAATACCATGAACTAGTGAACTCAAATAATTCTTGGTCAACCTGGGTCATAATCATGAGCTCCTGCTTCACCTGCATCATTTCAACTTTTTACACCTATAATACAGATGACATTTGAACAAAAAAGAGCACACAATTGGATGTTGTTCTAGTAGGGAAAGTTTCTGGTATTGAGAAGTTTATTTCTCTTTTAAAAGAGATTAGCCTATTGGATGTATTTTCTGATGCAGATCTATGCAGTTGGGGCGTCCTCAAATAATGGTATTCATCTTTTAGACTTCTATCCTGACCCATCGTCCACTTGCCATGTGGACTTCAAGTAAGAAAAGCCAGATTTTTAATATATATATATATATATGGATCAATGCCCTTGTTATGTTGGTTAATGTCATCTTTTGCACATGGCTAATTCTCATAGTTCTGGATAATGTTTGCTGATTTTCTCTGCTTCTCTTAGTGAGGATATAGGTAGTGTTTCTGAGGGTAAAAGACGGAGCATGCAAAACAGATTTGTTCCCTTGTCAGAAGGTGTTACTGTTTGTGCTGCTCACCCCCTGAATGGTACCATCATAGCTGGAACTAAGGTAAGCATTTTTACAAGGATAAAGAATAGGTCTATGGATAGCTGTGGCCCACGTAAGGGTGTCAATGGACCAGTTTTGGATTGGACCCTGTCCAGTCCAAAATCAATTTGGACGGATTGGACGAACCAACAAGACATTGGATTGGACCAATCCGGTCCAAAATATTAGATTGGATTGGACCTGGTTTGTCCGTAACAAATTTATATTGGATTGGGTTGGATTAAGCCAATATCTGGTCCATTGATATAAGATAAGAATATATGTGTCAATGGACCAGGTTTGGGTTGAAACCAATCTAAATCAAAAATGAATTTGAACAGATTGAACGGTCCAGACATTGATGGACCAGTCCAAATTGGTCCAAAACATTTATTGGATTGGATTGGATTGGACCTGGTCCATTTATAATGGACTCACATTGGAGTGGATCGGATTGGACCAAATCCAGTCCAATTGACAACCCTAGGCCCATGGACTTGCTTCATTTCCCTCATTTCCCTCTGGTTTTGTCTCATATGGTCTCACATTATTAATTTATTCATACTTTTATATTGTTTCTACTATTTTCTAGGTTCTTAAAATACACGGTAACCTCCTTGTATAAAGCTTTTTGATTGTTTTGGCTTCATTTGCTTTGATATATATGCGTGTGTTGGGAACCGTGGGCGTTTTTTCAATAAACGCTGCCACATAGGTGCCACTTCAGCATTTAGTTCATTATGCTGATCCGTACGCATAAAGACTCACAAAAGCTGGCCTTGATTTATGTGCATGTCTACCGTTTGGGAAAGCTTCATTTTAATGCTTCCCCCAACGGTTAGGCATTTATTCACTGTTATGTTGATGTGGTGCCTAATGGCGCCTAATTGTCATAATCGGTTGACATTATTACTTTTCTCGGTTTTGCAAACAAATCAAGTACAAACGTTTAGTGAAAAAAACACCCATGGTTCCGAACACATGCATAATGGGGGCCTACATACTCCCCATTGGAAGCCTTGTTTTTCACTTCTTTTACATCAAAAGTGGTGAATCTTCATGCAACATTTTCCAAGTTCATTGGCTTTATATTTATACCTCAAGGATTGTACTAAAGTAGACCTAAATCATTAAGCTGATTCATTCTAAAATAAGTTTCACTCTGATCACATTTTGATTTCAGCAATCTTCTTTACTGGTGATATCCCAAAAGCGCCAGTCCTGTTGTAATGGAGATTACAATCGAATGGACGACAATGACTATTAGGATCTCCGACATGAGTTTAATATCTCATAAATTCAAGTGGCACTCAACTGCTAATATTCAGTTTCACATGGAAGGCTCTTACAAATTACAATGCTCGGTACTGTTACCTACTATTGCAATCAGAGATGCTGGTGATGACTACAACACGGGAAATACTACTAGTCCAGAGACAGCTTGTTAACACATTGTTCATTGTACATAGGTAAACTGGACTAGAAAGCAAACCGAAAAGGAGTCAGTTCAGTTTGATCCTGTTTCATTAATGTTCAATCCATAATGAATTGATGTTATTGCTTTTAAAGATTGAGCAGAATAAAGGAAAACAAAAAAGGTTAAGGTTGAAGGAGATTTCTGACCATCTGATCTCGAGTCTTTTGTGAGGATCAAGTACAAGGTTTAAAGTACGATATTCTGGAAACACAAAAAGTCTGTATCCATCGTTTCAACCATCAATAATCTATATTTTTTTTCACTTTGATAGCTCAAAAATACATATATTAAGAGGAAAGTTAACTTTTCAATCTGTTACCAAAGCAAAAAAAAAAAAAAAAAAAAAAAAAAAATTCAAATCTATTAGCAATACCTAAACCTCGGTGTTTGGCATAGAAAACTGATACGTATCGTATGATACATATTGATACTTGGAACCTTGTTCAAGGGTGAAAGGATTAATTCATCAAATTGTATCAACAAGTGGTAAGTATTAGACATCCGGTGACTGCCCCAGACAAAGAGATATCTGAATTCTGTTTTCCGGTGACACAAAATACTGTTTATGAGCAAACACAGAAACCTCAATGTTATGGCTAGACTGGAAGCGCACGTCTGCCGCATCAAAAATCGTGTGAGCTTTGGATTTCTTGTTGTAAATATAGATTAAACACTAAAAATACAGCAGAAGAGATGTTGGCGGTAATTATTCATGTGTTGGCAGTGAGGTGAGGTATTGGCTCCATTGTCTATTCAGGTTTCGAGAACCGTAAAACATCCAATAATGCTAAAATAGCGCCTCTTCTCTTCAACACTGAAATGCAACTGGAAAAAACAAATGGGAATTTCTGCTTTCCAAGTAATTCCTGGACGACCAGATTAGAGAGAGAGAGGTTTGTAAAATGTCAATTGATTTATTCGATGAAATCTGCAAAAAGTGCAAGGGATTCTCTGCAAATAAAACTCTGCACACACAGTGGAAGTATGTGAATTCATCCACACATTGGAAAGTGGAAACATTTCCTTATGAATTTAACATACATGTGCATATGGAGTGCTAATAGCAAGGGTAGAGTGTTACAAGTAAATGTAGCTTTCTATTGCAATTGAAAGCCGGTTAAAACCGTTCGAACGGGTAGAGTGTTGCATATGGAGTGCTAATAGCAAGGGTAGAGTGTTGCAAGTATGTGCATATGGACGAACGCTCGTTCTGTTCTGACAAGAAAATCAAAAAAAAAAAAGATTAAAACCGTTCGAACGGTTTGAACGGTTCAAACGATTAATCGTCCGATTCAGTGATTCGCTGACCAAAATCAATGGTTTTAGGGGGAAATTCAGTTTTTGGGGAAAATGACCAGCTCCCGGTTTTTCTGGTCCGACCGTCCAGTCCGGTCCAATTTTGAAAAGCATGCTTAAAAGCTTATAAACAGCAAACACATATTCAGTTTGGGTGTCAAGTTGAAAAAAAAAATCAAGCATTTAATACAATTCTGGTTGTGTCCATTTATAGTGTGTTATTTAGGGCAATGGCGCCAAAAATTCAAGTAAAAATTTTTCAGACCCCATAGGGGTGGAGTGCTGGTGCTCTATGCTAGACCCATCTATAAGTTAGTGGTGGCTCAATCAGTCAACCCCCAACCTAATTGCAACCCGTTAGAAATATATAACAATATTCCAGACTCCAGAGTAATGGAAGATGGGATGAGTCCTGCCTGCGGTGAAAGATAAACAAGCCATTAACCATCGGCTTCTTAAGTATTCCATAATGAAACCGGTTTGGTTTGTTTTGGTTCCTCACTTCCATTCCAACTTATTCCCATGATGATTGATCCTTATCAAAGTGGTCGAGTAAATGCAGAGATGGACGGCTGAGATCTTGACTTACCAAACCTGCATATCCGAGACACTAGCCCATGGAAGCAAAGTGCAACCTGGAACTGCTTAATCCGAATTGGGCTAACTGGGAGGCTCTATGCTCTTCCCTCACTTAGTTGCCTTTTTCGTGTATCAGAGCCCAGCAACGACTGGCATATTATTTAAACTGTAGTCTGCAGTATTGAATCGGACCTCATCATTTAAGCTTCATAGAGGGCGAGGAGAGAGAAACTTTTTTGTTCGAAGGTTTCATCTGGTCTCCACTGAAACTCTGTTCGACAGCCTCTCCCATCTGTAGATATCAGTTCTTCTTCTTCATCAACTTGAGCAAGGAGATTCCTTCAAAAGAACCTATTCGGGGGTTTCCTCCCGTCTCTCTCATCTCCGAGAGGACATGACCCAGTTCGAAAGCTTCCATACTTCTCCACTGAGACCGTGTCTCAACAGCAAATCGCCTCCATCATTCGAGTTCAGGGTGTGCTTCTTCTCCTGTCTTCACTGAAGCACCTATTCGAGTTTTTCCTTCTTCTCATCTTCGAACAAACCGGCGACATCCAGCTACAGTCGTTTAATCACTACAAATGAAAGCATATATTGGTGGTTTACTTCGGCCAAGGATACAACCATGGCTCATATTCGTAGATCAGAGTTTCTGGTCAAGAAACCCTGTGTATATTTGGGTTTTTTGATCATCTACGCATCTAAGAATAAGATTTGCTCATCCTAGAGAATTGAAAGCTGAATATCAGTCCCAAATCCAAATCAAGTATTAGAAACCCTTATTTATTTATTTATTTATTTATTTATTTTTTGGTTTGATTCCATTTATTTTCTGGGATTCTTGAATGATTCATGCTCTCTTTTCTTACCCATCTTAATTAATTATTTACATTCTTTTTGAGGATTAATACCACTCAAAGTTGAGAGCTATTCGATGCATAAAGTCGTTCAAGCCTCTGGACCTGTTTTGAGCGCCCAAGTATCATCGCCCATCTTTTTTTGCGTACTAGCTTCAGTCGAACGCCACTGTGCATAAGGAAACAATATGCATAAAACCATAACACATTGTCATTGGCTTCACTACGCATTGGCTTCTAATGAACTGGAACTCAAACATCTCCAACCTAGTGTGATTGTTCAAACCTAAATGTATTCATCTTGGAAAGGACTATCTATGGTAACTGTTTTGTTTTATTGCAACTTTGAGCTCCTACGGCTGCCTACACCAAACTCTATCAGAGAAGAGGTCTAATAAAAGGGCCAGAGATTGAAGTAGTGAATCAAACTAAGGGACAAACCAGGTACCATCCTATTGCATCCAAGACTGCAAACAATCAAGATTTAGTTTGGACCTGATGTTGTGCACAAGTCAATTATGGTGAACTGGGTTACCGCTACTTCTGAGAGCAGATTGCTTGAGGCATTTCAGCGAAAACAGCTAAGCTTTTCTCTTTGCCTTTATTTATTCTATTCTCAAGATATGTCTGTTGCATATGGTGAGCAGTTTAGAATTATTAGTTTGAATTAGTTTTTGTATAAGCAATTACTTTAGGGATTTTAATTGAAATTCTTGCCTAATTCACGGACTGCACTGAGTTTTGTTGCAAATAGGAGGCTTATTCCTAAAACATTTGAAGTTTTGAAGTTGTTTTAGAGACTTGCAATATATTAGGAGTTGTCTCCATTTTCCCTCGTATTTTCAACCTTTAATTCAAGGAACCAAATTAAGCATGGTTTAGTGGCCTGTTCATTTCCTATTTAATAGCCTTAGAAATAGAAACTGTTCAAGTTGGGTTTTGTGCATTTTGACTCTCTTAAATGCTACCCGTTTTTCTATTTCCCAAATTTCTTTAATTGGTTTTCAAGTGGATTTTACTGTATTTAAATCAAAGTAAATTAAATTACATTGATGACTAAATCATACTGATTGCAACAATTGATCTTATTCTTTGAATCTAAAAATATTTGATGCACGTCTCCTTGGCACATCATGGCATGCTTGGAAATGGTGCTATTATAAGGTATTTGAGAGAACAAATTTCACTTCATGGGATGTTACAGCATCTGCAAATGTAGTTTATGGAGCTTCTATTTCATCTTGATAATTCTACTCGAGTGACTGCTAACTCGCATCATCCCGTTCTTAATGGGGTTGCTCACTGAATTCCCCCACCGCCCCACTGTCCCAAGTTTAATATTCAATGGTTCTTCAAACCCTTTTGAAGTGGTCGAGCAATTAGATTGTAGGTGGTCTTTGCAAAAGAAGCTGAGTCTTTTGTTTTATTTTAACAATTCTCTGAACTTTGCATTGAAATTTGGTTTGATTAGAATTCAGATCGAGAGTGATTGTCTTTGGCTTCTCAAATTTCTGTTGAAAAATGCTTCACCACCTTCCAGCTAATGGAGGATTGCAGAAGTTTAATCTATTCCTTTGCTATATATAGCTTCCATCACATAGGAGGAAATTTCAACCAAATGGCCCATAACATCTCAAAATTTACTTGTTCATTCGATCCAAAACATCTATACTTGATCTTAAGAACAAAATTTTTTCATGACTTTATTGTAAACTATTAAAGTATTAATCTTCTCATTCATAGGTGCAATGGTTGGATCTGCCACTTATGGGGTGTTCTGTAGTGTGGATGAGAAATTGGTGGGTATGAATTCATCCACACCACACCATAATCCACAGATGTTCTAAACTATGGATAGATTGTACAGACCGGACTATTCCACACCCACGGTAGCGTTTTGTAGGTGAGGTGTGGAAGTCCACACCACACTTCTTGATTCCATATATCTCATATACATTTCATTGGAGATCTACACAATCGATCATAAATGTCTAATTTTTGCATTTTAGATGGTAAATAAATTGAAAAAAGGCATCAATATGTAGACAATAATTGCATTTTTTAAATAATTAAAAAATATTATTTTAATTAGTAAAAAATAAAAAAAATAATAATATTTTAAATATTATTTTATTCATAAAATATTAAAACTTAATATTTAATTAATGAAAAAGAGTTGAGAAGGAGAACCGTCGGACTTGTGCTAGAATTAATATTAAAAATTACTATTTTATTAATAAAATGTTAAAATTTAAAAATTTAAAAATTATTAAAAGATTAAATAAAATGAGAGCAATTAGACCAATGTAACGTAGGTGCGTTACATTGAAACCTTCTCACAGATGGTCTCATCCACGGGAAAATACTATGGACAATAAATTGGGGTGTAATTCGTCCCTATTCATGCTATTTTGTAGACAGGGTCCATCCACACATAGCAAAACGCCATATCTTACTATGGATAAGACCAAAACGATCCCATCTACGATATATACACGCTACTGAACACCAACTTAGTCACAATTCCAATTTGGATCAACCTCTAATTGGTCACAATTCAAATTTGGGTAAACCTCTAATGGAGTCCTTTTTTAGACCATTGACCCATATGGCTTCTTTAATGGAGCCCATTTTTAGACGTGGAGTCCTTTTTTATTATTTTTTTCTGGGATAGAAACTACAAATTAATATGTGATCTTAATTATTGACACGAAAAAAAGCTAGAAGTTGCAGGGGAAAATATGGACCACTTACTTGCAGTCAAGTAGAACAAAAAACCATTAAACTAAGCAGGTACTTTGCCTAAACATGGCAAATATAAAGAAGGTAATTTTTACTAATTAAAAATAAATAAATAAACTAGTGGCAAGCCCGTGCTGAACACAGGCAACATTTAATTAGATATAAGGGAGATAAAGTATGTGTTTGGTAGGGGTGAGAAAAAAAAAACTAAAAAACCAAACCGATCAAAACCAAATCGAACAATCAGTTAATTGAATTGATCGATTTGGTTTCAATTCGGTGTTTTAGAAAAACTAAAGGTGTCAGTTCAGTTTCGATTAACCAATATAGAAAACTGGTGGTTAACCGAACTGACCGGTATACATATATTTCTATATATTTTATATATATTTATGTATATAATATATATATATATATTTTTATATATTACAAATTAATAAATATGCATTATACATAAATATATATTTATAATATATGATATATTATTAAATATTTTAAATATAATATTTTATATATATTTATAATTTTTATTATATATTTTATAATATATAATGTAAAAATTAAAAAAAAAAACAAAAGAACTAATGAACCAAACCGATGGTTAACTGAACCGAACCGTGAGCACCCCTAGTGTTTGGTAGAGCTTTTGTTTATTAACTAAACATTTGCACTTGATTTGTCTTCAAAACTGAGAAAAGTAATAATGTCAACCGTTTATGACAAATAGGCACCATTAGGTGTCATTACGCACTATATCAGCACAATTGTGAAAAAATGCCTAACCATTGGGAGAAACATTAAAATAAGCTTCCCCCAACGGTAAGTACACACATAAATCAAGGCTAACTTTTGTGAGCATTTATACATATGTATCACCATGATGAGCTAAATGATGATTTGACGATAATATAGCGACATTTTAAAAAACGTTTGTCACAAAACGCCCACAAAACAAAACACACAGAATAAAACATCTCCGTATGATGATTAAGTGGTGTCCTAATAGCTAGATATTCATTAATTATGTTTGGTTTCAAGATCACCATTCACCACAAATGTGTTCTTTTGAGATATGGTGTCTTGTTGATCTAGTTGAGTTTGGTTCTATTTGGAATACACTAAAATCTCATATTTCATAATACACCATATTTAATTTAATATATTTTGACAAAAAATATTTAATTTTCAAATCCCAAAGATGGATGTGATGGATCCTAAAAACCTATCATTTTAAATACACCACACCAAATTAAATAACTTGAACACACGACACTTTTTTAGTATATATTTTATTTTAAGGGGTGAACATTAATTGTGGCCGGTGAATGCTTTGTGCATTGTGAGTTCATGATGCAATATTTTGTTTAAAGGTCAACTCAATAAATGAAGAGAGGAACCATATTAATGAAAGCCACATGTGGCTGTTAATCCGGTACATTTTCTCTAGGAGCAATGTGAAATCCATCTCAAAATAAATAATTAAGATTTTTAGTTGATTTGCGAGACTAAATCAGGTTTGAAGTGATAAGAGATTATTTAACAATTAATAATATGGCACTAAATAGAATGAAATGGTGGGACGTTTATTTGCATATCTAACGGCTAGTGTTTGGATATTGGTTGATCTTGATTTGTTTATATTTGGATTCGAATTGAATATCCGTCTAATTTTTGTAGAAGAGTCTAGATCTCCTGCCAACAAAACACATTCCAAACCCCTAAGACCCTACCAAATACCAAACTCCTACGGTATTATGTTAGTAGGGTGTTAGATTATTGGACTGGCCTGATGATCGTCGAGAAAAAGCTCCCTAAAACAAATCAATATAATGAACCTAAAAGAATTTCTCAATCCAATACAACTTATTATGTTAATGGAGACAATCGAAATAGAGGGGAAATGGGTAAAAATGAAAAGTACCATTTTTATAAATGGTACAAATACAGATATTATATATATATACATATATAATTTAGGCATTTTATGTGGGAATAGGATTGAAAATATATATGAAATCAGGGAAGGAAATCAGCAGGAATAGGATTAGAAATATGAAATAAGGGAGGGGTAGAATTGGAAATATAAATCAAGGTATTGAACGATGGATCTCTTTTTATATAAGTGGGTAAGATTTATTGGACTCTTTTTTTTCTAAGTGAAAAACCTAACTGTGTAGGACTGTCAACAGATCAGGTCTGGTTTGGGATAAATAACAATCTATATTTTGGTTTTTGATAATATAAGCTTAATAAAAATGACAGTAAAATAAAAATTGCTTATATATTAATAAATCAAGTGTTTTTAATCAAAATTATCTTAAATACTCTCTGTTAAATTTTCTATTATACACATGAAATATAAAAAAAAAAAGATTAGGAAACAAACCAAAAGCGGTCCAAATCGGGACAAAATCATAAAACCAGGGTTGGTCGGTTCGAATCTGTCGGTAGAATCGACCTGCTGACAGCCCCTATAACCGTGTCCAGATCCCCCCACCCATAGCACTTCATGTCTTCTTCCCTTTTCTATTCTTTTAAAGAAGGTCCTCCCTCCATACTCCATAGTCCATAATTCAGGAATAAGAAATCATCAAACTATTGCAAATTTGAGGCAGACCGTCTCCATCCCATTCATGTATAACACATGGCTCCCATTACTGATATCCAATACTATTGCTTCCTCTTCTGCATTTTGCTCGTTTCAACTCTTCTCTTTCGATCCTATGCAAAGAAGCCAACAAACCCAAGCACCTTTCCCCCTAGTCCTCCCTCCCTACCAATAGTAGGACATCTCCATCTCATCGGACCCTTACTGCACAAATCCTTCCAAAGCTTATCCAGACAATATGGACCTCTCATTAGTTTGCGTTTGGGTTTTTCTCCCTGCATCGTTTTGTCCTCGGCTGCCTTGGCCATGGAAGTCTTCAGGACCCATGACCTCATTTTTGCATTTCGCCCAGAATTCGCTTCCACCCAATTCAACATATACAATGGTTCTAATTTCTTCACTGCACCATACGGCACTTATTGGCGGTTTATGAAGAAACTCTGCATGACAGAGCTCCTTGCAGACAGGCAACTTGCTGGGTTCGTGGGTGTAAAGCAAGAGGAGATCCGACACTTCCTGCGGAGACTTCTGGAGAGCTCTGAAAGTGGAAAGCCAGTTGATGTGGGCGCTGAGCTCACAAGACTGACAAACAACATCATATGCAGAATGGCAATGACCACAAGGTGCTCAGGGAGCACTTACGAGTCTGAAGAGGTTAGAAAATTGGGTGATGAGATTGCAAAGTTAGGAGGGAAACTTGGCCTGGGGGAGATCCTGGGTCCCTTGGGAAAATTAGACCCATTCGGGTATGGGAAGAAGTTAAGAAATTTGATTGTCCAGTTTGATGAACTGTTGGAGAAGGTTTTGAGGGAACATGAGAATGATGGTGCAGAGGGTACTAATGAAGGAAAAGACTTAGTTGATATTCTCTTGAAGACATCTAAAGATGAGAAAGCTGAGTATAAGTTGACGAGAACCAATATCAAAGCCTTCCTCCTTGTAAGATCATCATTTAATTCTTACCCTTATTTTCTGCTTTCATCTTCTCTTTCTTTTTGATTCTCTAGCAATCATCTGAAGGCTTAACTAATGCCCTTTCCCGCCTTTAAGAAGATATGATTAAGTTACAATTTTGCTTTTGTGCCAGGATATTTTTGCTGGGGGAACTGATACTTCAGCCAAAGCCATGCAGTGGACACTGGCCATGCTCATAAACCACCCTGACATACTCAGGAAGGTCAGAGCGGAGATAGAGTTTACAGTTGGAGAAACAAGATTAGTCGAAGAATCAGACATCCACAATCTTCCTTACTTGCAAGCGGTCATAAAGGAAACACTAAGACTATTCCCTGTATTGCCCATCATCGGAAGAGAATGCACAGAGGACTGCAAAATCGGAGGCTATGATGTGAAGAAGAAAAGCAGGGTTCTGATCAATCTATATGCAATCATGAGGGACCCAGACTCATGGGAGGACCCAGACAGCTTCCGGCCTGAGAGGTTCCTGATGAAGTCCAGAGAGAACTTACAAAGACAAGAGGAAATCAAGAATCAAAGTAGTAAATTCCTACCATTTGGGGGAGGACGACGAGGCTGCCCAGGAGCATCACACGCATATACCATCATGCACCTTACAGTTGCCTCAATGGTTCAGTGCTTTGATTGGGTCAATGGAGATAATGGCTTAACAGAAGTCAGTTTGGAACAGGGAGCAGGATTCAACCTGCGCATGGCGCACCCACTACTTTGTTTTCCCATACCTGTAGCCAAATTACAGCCACTCATCCCTACAGTGCTATAAAATACATATATCCTTGCCCTTTTTTTTATTTACTTGCACCCTTTATACCAACGTAGGCAAATATGGATAGAGAGCCCATTATTTTATGTTAAATAAAAAAGACTTGGTTTGGCCATTGTATTCGTTTTATGTCAAATGATTGCTTTAAATCAAACGACTTTTAGGCTGCATTTGGCATTCCTTATTTTAGCCTGCGTTTGGAATTGATGTAAATGCTTACATCGGTTCTGTTTTGTTGGTATTTGGATGAAGTGTAAATCAAGATGAATGTAAAACTCCACTCGGGTTGGGATGGAGTGGAGCTTTATGACATAAATCAATGTAAAACTTTATCTAAAGTAAAATTTTACATCAATTATCAACATAAATACTACATCGATTTAACTCCATGCTTTTTTCATCATGCTTTCTGATGTGGGGTGACCCAGCCCATGAGCGCCAGACTCGGAGCCTATCGCGGAGTGCCCACACGTACCCGCATAACTCATTGACTGTCCTCGTACGACTCCCATTTTAGGCGTTCATCTCCACCAACCTCCAAGTGGCTCAAGTATAAATAGGGAGTACCTTCCTCCGGGTGAGGGGCCGAATCCTGAATCTAATCCCACTACTATACTTAAGTATATTCACTTGGGGAATTTAGCATTTACGAGCAACCTCCTCGGAGTCCTCGTCTGAACCTAATTCCCCTCCTCATACCCTCGTACTAACTTGACCGTCGAAGACTCTGCTTCGGGTTCTCACCCGAGGCCTCTAACATCCTCTATCTTGCAGCACTTCAGCTACTAGCCCTCGGCTTCCAGTCTTCGGCCTTAGCACTTCGTCCCCGAATCCTCGAAGCCTTTGGCCCATCTTCAGAGCCCAAGGGAGAAATTACTTTGTTGCCCTCGACCAATCCGAGAAGCAACACTTTCCAAAGCTCAATCGTCACTTTTTTGTGATTCGATGTAAAACCTCATTGATGTTAAAATGCCCCTATTACATCGATTCCAAACACAACCTTAAAGATTTATTTCCTTTTTACGGTTAAAATATCCCTATAAACACTAAGTTTTTTAAATGCAAAAGGGAGTCTGAATACATGGAGAACATTTTAGGCCCTTACATGGTGTTATGCAAAGGAGATGTTCCCATTGCATAGGGGCAATGTTTTAAAAAACAATCTGGAAATGGAACCGTTCTGGCCGTTGATTTCTGGGTCAATAGGTCTAACCGTTTGGTTTAAATAGATGGCCCATTCTGACAAATAAATTAAAATAATAAAAAAAATAAAAAATAAAAAATAAAAAATAGTTAAAACCATTGAATGTATTGATGGTTCGACCACCCAGATCAACAATTTATTAATTTTTTTAATAGTTTTTTATCAAAACTAAGTTTGAAGTAAAACAGAACCACTTGTCTGAACAATTTTCAAGTCAAACAATTCGACCATCCAAATCAACGGCGGTTCAAAAACCTTGGATGGGGGTAGCATTTTATCGTGAATAAATCCGGAGTCTACGAGGAGACAAATCTGAGCAGCTTTACAGCCCGGCAGAAGATTGAGCTTTGAATTATTGACCTGATGCTAGCCCGGCACTGATGTAGTGAAGTTTCAAATTGAAAAAATAAAAAAGAAAAACACGGTACCAAACCACAGCTTTAAAGTCTTGGTGTGCATTTATTGCTCGATATTAAAATACCCACAAATACTCCTAATTGTTAGCGTTAGCTGCACCCACCTCCATATCCATGAAGTCCAAGTATCATCTCCTTCTTGTACACGCAATGTACATGCTTTTTACATGTAGTTGACTTTGATCCATTCATGTCCCTTTCATCCCCCACTATTGAAATTTTATATTTATTAATAATTTAAATAATTATTAAAATTTTAAGAAATATTTATTTTAAAAAATAGTTTTTCAATAGTTATTAAAATATTAAGAGTTTTGTTTTGTTATGATACGTAAAGGGTTAATGATTAACTGAGATTAATAGAATATAGACAAAAGTGAATGTGAATAACCACTTTTGCATTTTCTATATTTTTAAAAATGGATTGAAAATGATGATAGTGTATTATGGGTTTTAGCAGCAACTTCTCATAAAATGTCGCGTGTCTAGCTTTCTAGAAAAATAAGGTCATGTGTCTGAATGGTTGGGAGCTATAACCTGGTAATGGACTGTGGGTTTTAGTAGAAATTTCTCAAAATTGCCACATGTGTAGCTTTCTAGAAAATGAAAGGGAAATTGTCAAAAACTCACCATGAGTTTTCAGTATTTCTCGTAAACTCACCACAACTTTTCAAAATGTCTAAAACTCACCATGTCACTAACTTGACGTTAAAGATGGACAAATTGGGTTGGGTGGGTCAAGTTCGGGATGGGTCAAGATACTTCGGGTTGATTTCGAGTCGGGTTGAATTTTGGGTTGGGTTATCAAATGCTAGACCCCAACCCTAAATGTTCGGGCTAGGGTTAACCCATGGGTCAATTTGGGTCATTCCAAAAAATAATTGAAATTTAAAAAAATAAAGAAGAACTACATAAAAAATGCCAAAATTAAAAGAATTAACCTTAAAATTTCAAATATAAATAAAAAACTTGAACATTTAACAATTTAAAGAGTAACAATAAAGAGTAAAGACTAAATAGAAAAAATTAAAGAGTGGAAACTTCTAAAAATGCAAAAATAGTCCCAGTTAGACTTGACAATCGTGTAGCGGGTTGACCCCTGACCCAACCCAACCCAACCCAGTTTTTTACAGGTTGGGTTGGGTCAAGTCGTGTAGCAGGTCAACCTAACCCTGCTTTTTTGGGTTGGGTTGGGTTGGGTTCGCAGGTTGGGTCAACTTTTTGCCAGCTCCTGTTAAAGACACTAACAATTGTTAATATATTACCATTTTAACCTTCATAGAAAAATATAAAATATATACATATTTTAATATTTAGATATGAAAAAAAAATAGTTCAAAAAATATTTTCAAATATAAAAACACAGAAATTACAAAAATATAAAAAAATTATAAAAATTGCACACAAAATAAAAAATTATTTTCAAATTATAGAAAAACACAAAAATTGCTAATAAATAACAAAAAATACAGGAAATATTATAAATGCTAGAAAATAGAAAATTTTAAAAAAATAGAAATTATAACAGAACATTAAAAATGTAAAAAAAAATGAAAATTGAAAAATGAAAAAGACCATTGTCCTCTAACTTGCCATCCAAGGGTGATTTGGTCATAAAAATTGTTATTTATGCTGATGTGGACACTTCTATTAAGAAACATTAATGGTGCACTAATAGAAGGTGAGTTTTGAAAAATAAAAACTTATTGACATGGTGAGTTTTAGACGTTTTGAAAAGTTGTGGTGAGTTTAAGAGAAATGTTGAAAACTCATGGTGAGTTTTAGACATTTCCCAAAATGAAAAGGCCACTTGTCTAAATGGTAGTAGTGGGTTGTGGGTTTTAATAGCAACTTCTCAAAAAATGTCATGTATTTAAGGTAGCGTTTGATAAATTTGAAATTTAAAGTCTAAAAAATTAAAAAGATATTAAAATTGTCTGAAATCTGAAAGGAGGCATAGATGTTTTTCTACCTTTTACAGGCTCTAAATATATAAGGTTGTTTGTGTTGGATCGAACCTTCAGGATCTGAAATTCCCTGATTTTACTATTTTGCCCCTAAAACAAACTTTGATAATTTTGCATTCAATTTGCACTATTTCATAAAAATAAATTATTAAATTTAAAATTAATCTTAAAAATATGAATAAATTATAAAAATAAAAATAATTTATTAAAATAAGAATAAATTTGAAAAATACATATAAAATTATAAATTAAAAGTTAAAATAATACTGAAAATAGTAATAAAGTCCATGAGGCAATGAGAAAATATTTAACAATTAGCAAATTAATATCTTAAAACTATTAAAATATTTAATAATTAATAAAAATAATTAATACGAATAAAAATGATAAAAAATAATAAATAATTTATTAAAATAAGAATAAAATTGGAAAGTATATAAAAATTTATAAATTAAAAATAAATTATTAAGAATTAAAATAATAGTAAAAATAGTAATCAAATCTATGAAACAATTTAAAATTTTAATAAATTGAAAATTAATATCTTAAAAATTATTAAAATATTTATAATTAATTAAAATTAAAATAATTAATAATTAAGTTACATATTCTGTCTTACACAGTAGCGAATGGGGCGGAGATGATAGCCAGGAGTGGAGAAGAGATGGAAAAGGGGGAGAGAGGAAGGGAGGGTGTTAACCTCCACAGCTTAGAATTGCAACGGCGGTGGCAGGATTTGACAGGAGGCCTCTTGCATCAGAGATCGACGGCGGACTCCAATCGAACTCGAAGCCGAATGGGGCGGAGAAGATAGTGGTCCGGAGTGGAGAAGAGATGGAAAGGGAGAGAGAGAGAGGGAGGGAGGGCGTTAACCGCCACTGCTGAGCGTTGTAGCGGCGGTGGCTGGATTTCACAGCGAGGCCCCTTGCATTAGAGATCGATGGCGATCTCGAATCGAATTCGAAACCGAATGAGGCAGAGAAGAGAAGACAGTGGTCCGGAGTGGAGAAGAGATGGAAAGGGAGAGAGAGAGAGAGGGAGGGAGGGTGTTAACAGCCGCTGCTAAATGTTGCAGCGGCGGAGGCGGGATTTCACAGTGTGGCCTCTTGCATATCAGACATCGACGGAGAACTCGAAGCCGAATCGGACGATCTGGAGTCCACGGCGAGGCCATCAAAGTCGAATTTCCGCCAGAGATCGCCTCGAAGAACATGCCAACAGAGGCAGAGATCGGCGATTTTTTCTCTTTACCAAAGTAACTTGAACAGAGGCGGATGGATTTCTTGCATCAGAGAAATTTGAGCAAAGGCGGAGATCAAAGCTACCGGAAGAGTTTCTTCCGAGTTCTCAGAGAGAGGGAAAAATGAGATTTGAGAGTTTTTTTTTCTGCTGACATCATCATAGGGTTTCTTCAAATTATCCATCGTCGTCTCCCCTCTCGTTCGATGGCAATAGATCTGAAATATGAAGGGAAAGTAAGTCTGAAACGTATCTGACCCCGTTCAATGCTTGACATGGGTCTTAAATTTAAGATCTGAAAATGGCATTCAGTTCTACTTTTACTTATAAGATATGACCCAAACGCCTATTATCTCTGAAAAGTAAGTTTTTCAGAGATAAAAGGCAAATTCAGCATTATCAAATAATTCCTAAACTTAGAAACCTGAAAACCTTACTACATATATATAGTCAGTTTAAGATCTGAAAATGACATTTAGATCTACTTTTACTTTAAGATATGACCGGAATGCCTATTAAAAGTAAGTTTTTGAGAAATAAGAGGCAAATTCAGCATTATCAAACAATTTCTAAATTTAGAAAAACTAATTTATGGTGGAACTGTAACCTGAAAACCTTACTTTATTATTATTATTATTATTATTATATCAATTCTGACAATCACAATTCTATCCCAGTTACACCCTTTAACTTTCAACCAAATTCATCTGATCCCCTGTAACTTTCAACTTGGATGTGCGTTAACATGTTCCCTTCGTGGTTAATAAACTCACCTCACAAAAGACTTTTCCCTCAGACCTCAGTGTGCTCTGTCATTAGAATCGATTCCACTCGAACACCCATCGGAACGGAATTCAATTGCAATCAAAAACGCAAACTTGAAGGGCAAAGAAAACCATTTATCGATTATAGAGTTTATTACGATCTGCGAAAAACGTAAACCTGAAAATACAGACCCCACTAACGACGTTTATTGATTACCCCTTTCAGTCCTCCCAATCAATCAAAAAAAGCAAATAATGAATGGTTTGCTTGCAAGTTGTAGCACCATTTCACAGTTAATAAACAACATTACTAATCAAAAGTTTCTATTCAAATTCCTAAAAGCCAACGATTTACATGACCATTGTTCGCACATTACAAGTGCAAAACAAAAATAACAAGAGTAACAGAGACGAGGCAGCATAGAATCGTCTTAGCCTCCCTCACGCCCTCTCGCCACGAATCCTGCGGGCAAGCTGGATATCTTTAGGCATAATGGTGACCCTCTTGGCGTGAATGGCACAGAGGTTGGTGTCTTCGAAGAGACCCACCAAGTATGCCTCAGCGGCTTCTTGAAGAGCAGCAACAGCGCTGCTCTGGAAACGCAGATCTGTTTTGAAGTCCTGTGCGATCTCACGGACGAGACGCTGAAAGGGTAACTTTCGGATCAAGAGCTCCGTACTCTTCTGATATTTTCTGATCTCACGAAGAGCCACGGTTCCAGGCCTGAACCTGTGAGGCTTCTTCACTCCTCCGGTCGCCGGAGCCGACTTCCGAGCCGCCTTAGTTGCTAGCTGCTTTCGGGGAGCCTTCCCTCCCGTCGACTTCCTTGCAGTCTGCTTCGTACGCGCCATCTCTGAGCTCTTCGAGTCTCTGTTCGACGAACCAACGTACAAAGACACAAACAACTATCGACTCCCCTCGTAGCTCACGGTGCTCTGGTCTGTGGTGGTTTTATGCAGAAACAGAAACGCGGGAGGTAAAAATTTTTGAAAAATTGTGGCCGAAAAGACACATAGAGCGCTACAGATACCGTTCGATTACCAATATCATCAACGGACGAAATTTGCTAAAAGGGATTAACACGGATCGCAATCCCCGAAACAACACATCGAAATGGGCAATTGGGCTTCGGCATGCTGAGGTTAACAACAGGCTAGGCTGATGGCCTAGTCCAATGACGACGCTCAATGGATCCGGCCCATGTTTTCCCAAATCAAGTCCAATTAATTAATGGGATTGGACTTTAGAGAGGTCCTAGAGCTGACCCACCAAATCATCGGCACTATACAACCATATGAAGATTGAGGATCTCTTATGGAGCCATTTGCAATTAGTGTAAATAGGGGATGTTCATTATATGATTCAGACCGCCAAACTGAAATTTGTAACTTGGTTCGGTCTGCACATGAAAATGGATTGGTTCAGTAATTGAGTCAAGTCGAGCCAAATATCAAATTGGTTCGCTCTGGACAGAGCATGAAACTCGATTCCAACTCAATAAAAAATTATGTTTTTGGCACAATCCTGACCCCAGATGATTATAAATAATTAGTATTAAAAATTATAAATAAACTGGTATTGAGAACATTAAAATTATTAAAAAATTATAAATAAATTATATAATAAATATTATTCGACTTGAGTCAAACTCCACTCGAACTTGGTTACTAGGAGCCAAATTCGAGTATTTAGCAAGCCGAGCCCGAATATTCACAAGTAAGCTCAGATTGATTACACTCTTAAATTCAGTTGAGGATTCTTCTAAATTTTTATTTACAGTTTCTATTGGGTTTCTTGCATTTTAGAAACAAAAACATGTTATTTGGACTTTCTAATTGTGTAAGTCCAATAAAATGGCCCAAACCATAATAAAATGGTTTGATTTCAAAAATTCTTGAATCATATTTTACTGATTTGGTGTGAGATCTTCTCTAAACCACACTGAGATCAACTCTAAAACATCCTAACTGTAGAAGAAAAAGGTCGTTGTATTTAGTTCCTTTTTGCAGAATTTGAAGCTCAAGAGTAAAGGACAGTTAATTGGGCCTTCTTTTTTTTTTTTGGCTTCACGCAGCTACACAATGGGAGGGTAGCCCATCCCTCTCCCTTGCCCCCCCCCAACCATGGTGGAGGCAGGATTTGACYCACGAGTGAGAGATCCTACCAACTGAGCAACATCAGTTGGCCAATTCTTAATTGGGCCTTAATACGGATCAAAATTGGGCCTAATTAGCCAACTATGCTGCGTAGTATGACCCTAAGTAAAGCAGGCTAAAATCATTCACTCTACTACCAAACCTTTCCACTCTACCCATCTCACCATCACATTGGATCCTCAGTGCAGAAATACTTCCAAAACCTCACCAAATCATGAGATATCATCAGCTTACATCTAGCAGCATCTCCCTGGCATCATTTCATGATTTTCGTCGTCTGTTGTTTTAAGACCCATGATCTCACATTTGCATTACGCCCAGAATTCAGTATGGGTTAGTACAACACACAGAATGGTTCTAAATCTTTCACTGCATCTTCAGGCACACTGGCAGTTTTGAAGAAATTGAGAATGACAGAACACCTTGGAAACAGCTAGATCAATTCGACAATTCCTCACTCTGAAACAAGAGATCCAAGAATTCTTATGGAAACTTTGAGAGATCATGGCTGTTCAGAAGCTTGCCAAAGGGACCCATTCATTCATCATCAGAATGGTAGAAATAAAAGAAAAAATAGATAAGATTGATGACATGCAATGGCTGGATGTAATGAAAACCCCAACACCAAGAAAAAAATGATCCTTAATGGCCACAAGCTAAACAAAAAGGTGTCTATCACATTCAACCCCATTTATTCAATAAAATTGTAGAAATTGGATAAAGGGTCATAGAATTGATTGATATATGCTACCGCCATATGCCCATTCAATCAAGTTGAACAGCAGCAATGGTAAACAAAAAAAACACTCCCGTATTCAAATTCACAAAAACCAGGTATTTACACGACCATTGAACAGCCAAAGAAAAAAGAACAGCAAAATAACACATGCAGAAAGAACCACCCTCGTTCTTCTAATCTTTTTCAAGCCTTTTCTACAGGTGTAAATTGGCATCGCCCATATATATATATATATATATATATTATAATTATATAATAATATATAGTATATAATATATTAATAAAATAAACCTTTTTTCAATTTTATTATACTATTTTATTTAATTATTGTATAAGAGCAATTGTATATAGGGATGGCAATTTTCTTCATCCCCGACGGGGACTCGGCCGACCCGATGGGGTCGGGAATGGGGATTATTTTGACAGGGCGGGGACAGGGACAGGGATTAATAGGATTCCCCAATTGGGGTCGGAGTCAGGGATGGAGATTGAGGTCCCCAACCCGGATTATATATCAAAACATATTATTTATATCAAAACATATTTAAAATATTATTTATAATTTAATTTTTTTATTTACTTTAAGTAAATTTATTTTTCAAAAAAAATACTACTACCTAAAAAAAATTTGAGGATTCAGGTCCCCGCAGGGAACCCATCCTCGTTGAGGACTGGGGATGGAGGACAGTTTTTATCCCTGACGGAGATCAAGGATGGGGATGGGGGTTAATTTCATAATCGGGGGCAGGAACAGGAAATATGATCCCTGCCACGTTGTCATTCCTAATTGTATACATCAAAATTCATATAAAATTAAAATTTTAAGTATTTTTTCATTTTCTCAATCTACAGCCCAGCCTGGCCCAAGGCTTGACCCACGAACCAACCCGACCCATGGCACAGCCCCGTGCGGGCTCGGGCCATGGGCCGTGCTAGGCCACCCCCCAAGATATTCCAAGGAAGGGAGGCAGCCCACCACAACCCATTTTACAGCTCTACTACCTTTTCCCATGAATCCTACTGACAAGTTGGATATCCTTTGACATAACGGCAACCCTCTTAGCATAATGGCTTAGAGATTTGTGTCTTCAAAGAGATCCACCAAATAGGCCTCGACGGCTTCTTGGAGAGTGGCGACAGCGCTGCTCTGGAAGCGAAGATCTGTATTGAAATCCTGAGCGATTTCACGGACAAGACGCTAAAAGGGCAGCTTCCAAATCAAGGGCTCCGTGTTTTTCTGATACTTCCTTATCTCACGAAGTGCCACAAATTCGGGCCTGAACTTGTGTGGCACCTTTACTCCACCAGTCGCCAGTGCCAACTTCCGAGCAGCCGTCGTTGCCAGCTGCTTACGAGGCGCCTTCCCATCAGTCGTTCTAGCCATTTCTAAATTCCCCCAACACTCCTTTTTTCCGACAAAGATCAAATAACAAGGAGATTGATGGAACTAAGACTAACGAATTTGTGCAATGAATTGGAGGGAAATGATCGCTTTTATACAAAACTTTAGAGAAATGCGGGAATAAAAAATGTTTGCTTTTCTTGCCAATAAAGGCAACTTTTGGTTTCTAATATCAATAAAAATAAAATTTTTAAAATAATCTCTAGAATATAATAACTTTTTTGAAAAAATATCAAAAGAAGAAATACTGTTCACCTCTCCCCAACGGTGAACAACGATGTCAAATCTACCTTCTCTCTCTCTTCTTTTTCTTATTCTTCTTCTTAGAGATGAACAGTATCCCTGTCTGTAAAAGTTGGCATATTCTAAAGATTATATTAAAAAAATATATTTTTTGATTGATATTAAGGATCAAAAATTGCCCTTATCTACAAGAACCCCTTTTATGGGTTATCATCCGGGAACCTGAGTTTGATATCTAAACCTAATGGTGTTACATTGGATTAATCTCAAAAAATTTTATAATATATATAAGATCCATTTATAATTTGATCAAATCTCAACAGATCCATCCCAATTGATCCAATTAGGGCAACCTTTTTTTCCTATAAACAGTGCATATGTTTAGATAAAAATAACATACATTCATAAAAAGCAGATATAAATATCATATTTTCAGATTAATAACTTAACGTCTTGTGGGAGCTATTTAAATTTATTTTATTTATTAGGGAAATCTATGATGTAGGATAGTTATTAGAAGAGTTTTGACCGATCAAAACCCACCCATGAATTTTAATAAACAATACCTGATTGGATACCATTGGTCAATAAATTTTTATATATCATATATTTTCGATATCATAGCCAAACCCTATTTATCAATGTTGTCATCCCTCTGTTGACCTGGTCGATAGAACCATTCAAACCGTCACCCAGCTAGGATTTTGGGTCCAATTTAGTCAAGACCTGCTAGACGGTAAAAAATCATTTGAACCGGATGGTTCGATTGTTGACCCGTTCGACTTGGTGATTGAGTCGCAAGTTGCATATTTAAAGCATGCAAAACTTTCGGAGGCCATAACTTTGCATTTTGATGTCCGATTGGAGTGATTTTTTTTTATTTTAGGTAACTTTTCAAGAAAGAAAACCCTTTTTTGACCTCAAGTTGCAGCTTTTTAATATTTTTATAAATACAAACTGAATTAAAAAACATAAATTAAATACAAAATAATACACATTACATATCTAAAACATATTTATACACATATATGTGTATGAATGTATATATATATATATACTCAATACATATATGCGTTGATGTGGCATGGTCTGAACTGTTCGACCCGATCAGTCGAACCCGTGACCCGGAGGTAAAAACGGTTTGGCCTCCGGGTTGGTTTTTAAAACATTACTATTTATTAACAAAATATAATATAAAAAAAGAAGAGTATATTGCACTTGAAGCAATACTGACATGAAATCCCCTCAAGGCTCCAATTTCAATAATCAATATACAAAATAGGATCGAAATAGTAATCCGTTTTGTCTAAATTTGAATTTGAATGGTCTACATTCAACTTGTTTGCAGTTTATAGATGTGTTGCTGCTAGATATGGGCCAAGGGTAACAAGGTAATTTCCTTAGCGTTTAAGGCCGACCATTCCGATCTATAAGTAACAGAAGAACACACGTCAGAGGCCCCAGGTGTTATCACAGGGGTGGAGACTCTGACGGTCAAGTTAGCCAAATGCTTAAAGAGAGGTCGGACCAGGCAAGAGACGAGGGCTTAGAGCTTAGTCCTTAATGGCCAGGATAGTAATGAGCAATGAATGCTTCAATGAGTCCTTACCTTGAAGTGAGTGCCCCCTTTTATAGTTAACCTTGTCTTAGGAGTGGTTGAAATCAGCTGGTGATGTGCGGCCAGGATTTGATCTGGCCGACACCACATGGCATGATCTGAGCCTGCCAAGTATCCCTACATCTAGATGGTTTTTTGAATTGTGGTTGACCGGAAAGGTTAGATTGTTCAGTCCAGAAATTGCCCAGGAGATTGGTTATGTTTTTACCCCCAATCGGCTTTTGTTCAAAAGTTGTTGGCTTGGTCAGTGATTCATTGACACAGACAGTCGAACAATCAACCCAAACAACGATTTTTAGGTGTTTTTAATTATTTTTATTTTTAATTCTTCTAATTATCATGGGTCAATTTATTCAAATTGAATATTTGAACTGCTAGCCCAAAAACTGTGATTAAAGAAGTTTCTGATTCCATATCGATTTTTAAAACACTAGTAAACGTATGCATGCATTTGCACGTGGCAATATCTCTAAGATAAAATTATTTATAATTCATGGACAGTTTTTGAACAGTTATAAACAGTTTTTAAACGGTTATAAGTGGATAGTTTCTGAAGTGAGAGTAAAGTACATATATGCCATCTTTTATGCCCACTGTATGCCTAGACAAAAGGGTATAAAACATCTGGTGAAAATTCTAGAAAGAAGGGGCATTCGCTCTTTTATAGGTAGTATAGATTGGTTTATAACCGTTTGCCATCATGGTTGGGGTTATAAAGTAATATGGCTTTATGGAGGGCAGTTGCCAACACTTTGATAGGACAAAATTGTTTATTTTAATAATAGATCCTTGTGATTAAAATGGTCTTTGTCTTATTTATCTCAGAAATAAAAGCAATATAAATAAATGTAATTATCCGTGTAAGTATTTACTAGGAGCTATTTACCCATATAAGTAATTAGGTAGCTTCCTAGAAAGTGCTTTTTGAAAGGCCCGAAAAGCGAATGAAACCTAAAAGATGCTTGTTAAATGACATATACGAAGCCAACTATCTAACATATTTTGAGCCAAATTTTATTACTATTTATTTTTAATTGATTTTGTTCATGATATGCAATATCAATATTTTGACCACTTTTTGAAAACTATTCTATTAATGCCACTGAATATCCCAGTGCAATCCGTGTTTAATTCAAATCTAATATAAATCCATGCAATAGGATCTGTTTTGAATCAGAAAATCAAGGGGTGTTAGCCAATGTTTATGGTTTTCTGCAACACGGCATCCTAAGAATATCTTCTGTACATATTTTTAAATTGATAGGGAAATGTTTTCCAACGTACAATTGGATGTCCACACTTTCAGATTGTGGGCAAAGTTTTTGCTTAAATCAATCCCATCTCCATTTATTTTGACTACCGATATTTCCACAAACACTTTTATTATGTATCGAGAACTAGGGCTGTTTATAAGAAGGCCCAATCCGACTAAATCGACTAATTCGAACTGACCCAATCCGAGTTGACCATGTTTTCATAAGCACTGGTCGGTTTCGGATTGTACAAATTCATAAATCGATGGTTCGGATTGGTTTCGGTTTTCTTGTGTAAAAACTAAAACCGATCCGAACTGAACCGGTTTAGTTCCTACTTAACTAAGTTGCCTCTATCCTAATTCCTAATTACAACCTAACCTAGTCTTCTGGGTCCTATTTAACTAAGTTGTCTCTATCCTAGTTTCTATAGTCTTTTACACCAAATAGGCAATTATAATTAGAATTAGGTGTCATTTTTTATTTAGATTAGAACTTAGAAAGTTTCTTGAAATATACAAATTTCAGCCTTCTTTTTATAAAACAGTTTGACTTTCTATTTTCTTGATAACTTTTGTCTTCTATTCTAATTCTAACTTTTTAAATATATTTTCAGAAAATATCTTAAAAACTTCAATTTTCAGTTTTCAATTTTCAAAATAGATATTTCATTCTAGGCTTCTATGTCCTTTTTGTACAAGAGCAAAACCGAAACGACCCAAACCGACCCAACCCGACTCAAACCGACCAGGTCGATTTTGCTTAACACTGGGTCGGTTTCGGTTTCCATCTCAAGTAACCCGACCAGGTCAGGTCAGTTGGAAAAATATTTTTTTTTCAGGTCAGGTAACCCAACCCAATTATGGACTCTGAATAGGAAAATATTTTTTGAGGAAAACATTTAATTTGGACCAGATAGGGTCCAATCCAGTCTATTTGCATTTCAATTGGACTGGACTAGATCCGGTTTATATGAAGTTTGGATCAAATTTGGTCCAGTCTATTTGTAAATGGATCAATGTTGGACAGGACCGGATTGGACCAAATCCAGTCCAATTGACAGCCCTACCAACAAGTACCGATGCATACAGATTTCTATGATGGCAATTTCTATCTGACCTACCGGCGGGTACCCATCCTAGATTTTTTTTTTCTTTAAAAATAGATTTTAAGGCGGGAAGAACAACTCTTAGGATTGATATTACAACCCATGGTACGAGTAAGGTATGGTACAGGTCTTGTTTATTTATCGAGTAATTGGCCAATTTTTTCCACATTTGAGTGCCGTTATAATGGATCCCATGAAAACATAATTTTTCAGAAACATTAATGCTATGTTTGGGGGTGGATAACTTAGCCACCCGTCCAAAACATTAATGCTATGTTTGGTTTGAAGAAAAATGTAAAAAATGTAAAATAAAGGTAAGAAAGTTTTTACAAACCTTGTATAAATTTTCCTATTTTTCCTTTTCTTTCCCTATTTTTCTTTCAAATTAAACATGGCCTAAAATCACCTGCCTCCATTTTTACCTCTGAGTAATTTGAAACGTGACTGAACATTGACACCACAATTTTCCCGGATAATTATTGCCCAAGAATCGTTTGTCCAGATAAGTAGTGATACCAGAAATTCCTATATAACTTAAGCGATACAATAAAAGCTTTTTCTATTTTAGGGATTGACGATTTATCCATTCAGTGACTTTGGCACTGAACGTTCCCAAAATTGGTACTATCGGGTCAGATGAATTCAATAGTAAACGTCTGTTCTCATTCCAACCCTTCTTCTCCTTTCAGGCCTATTCGGAAGAAAATCCAATACCTCTTGGTCGTGAATATATGAATATTTTGCCTAGACAAGATATGCCTTATTGTTTTCAGATTTTAAATATCCAACCTACTTAAGTTTTTTTCAACCGAAAAGAAAAATAAATCCATTAAGTTTTGGAGAAATTATAAATTAAAAGGTACAAGGAGTCAGATACGGTCTAGAATTCCCCTAACTCGTCTCCTTGTCTTCCCTAAAATTCCCTGAACTTTCTTATGATTTAAATATATGTTTTTCCCATAAGAGAGACAAGTGATGAAATGCCAGAAACTTGAAACTTGAAAGAAACGTGGACCAATTTTGAAAAGGTTCATCTTCATATAGGATTCCACGCCTGGTATTCTAGAACATTCACACACACCCTCGTAGATCACACGATGACCTCAATATTCTAAGCTTTGCACAAAGTTTCTACCCACCAAATCTGAATTTGGGGACTGATATCCAATTCCCAAACTTCATACGCTCAAATACCTAAGACTGTAAGTCGGGCCGGGTTAGGTCGGGTTGAGGCCAATCCTAATCCAACCCTATGTTTTAAACCTCTAATCCTAATCCTAATCCAATCCAACCTATTTAATCCTAACCCTAACCCTAACTAATTTCTTCAACCCTAACTCAATTCGATGTCAACTTCAGGTTGGGTTGGGCCTAATACAACCTTCCCATCCCTTAAACTCTAATAGAAAAATAAGTATTTATTTATCACGAGTTATGACCTATGATAGAATTTTTCTCAAAAATATAAATTCATGAAATCAACAATAATGAAACATAAAATAAAATTATGGAAATAAAATCACTAATAATAATTCATAGGATCAAGCAAATAATTTGAATCTATTTGATAGGTCATACAAAAAAATTACAAGACAAAAGGAAAAGACAATTGGTCAAGTAGCTATAAATAACTTAAAGAAAGGCATGATAGTATGTAGGGGGGCTATACAACTATCATGCATACACACTGATTTGTTTAGATGCATCATAGTTATATAGCCCCCCTATATATATATATATTCTAGTACTATAGGGGTCGGGTTCGGATTGGATTGGGTTGCCTGAGGGATCAACCCTAACCCAACTCAAACTAAGATTAGGTTCAAGAATTTCAACCCTAACCCTAATCCGATCGTCAACCCAGCCCAGCCCAACCCGACTCGGGCCAACCCGGCCCAAGTTGCAGCCCTACAAATACCATGAAAAAACGTCATAAGTTCAAAATGGTGAACCAAAGTTTACCCTTTATTCCATCAATCAAGCTCGTGATGGGGGCCCATTAGTTAAGACTTGGGGCGAACTCATGACGTCACATATTTATACAAACAAAAAGTTTAGGACAAGACTATCACACCCAATTGCTCGAAAGTGAGAAGTCATGGAACCTAAAGGATAACTCCCCAGCCGTGTCTCTCTCAATCCTCAGTTCTGGGCCTTCAGGGAGCTCGACATCAGGTGGTAGAGGCAGTATTTGGCTCTCGTTGGTCGGACGTGGTAACTCCATTTCATATGGCACCGGCATCACAGGCGTTGGATTGGCCCTGAACCTGCCAATGCCTCCACTCTGGCAAGCCAATGCTCGGTCCCACATGAAAACATGAATGAGAATCGGCTTCAGAGCGTGACGGTGCAATGACAGCTTCTGGCTGAGCGAGATGGTGTCATAGCACCGGATGGCTCCCGTCGAAGACACCATCCAGGGGAGCACTTTCTGGTTGGAAACTCTTGAAAGCACCAGGAGTTTAGAAGCTCTCATCGCCTCTTTGTACAGATCTCTAAGTCCTGATCGAGTGGAAGCCACGTCTTCTCCGGCATCCATCACAGAGGAAATGTAAATGAAGCCCTGTCCATCAAATCACACAAGAAAGAAAAATAAGCAAATCCACCGGAAATTTGATAAAAACAAATTCCCTTTTGCAGTAAATGCTTCTATCAATAAAAGTAGAGAAATGTCTAATACAGAACAAACTGGTGGAGAGGGCTATTGAGGCAACCTCTTCTGTGCGGCTAATGGCAAATCCAAGCTTTGTGTCTCCTTCCTTTAATTTGATCTCTAATGCAAACTCGCCACCAATCGGAGCATACCAGAGACGGACTGCTCTCACTACGCCAATGTCAACCCCATGGTAATCCTCAAAACCATAGAGACTGACATTGGCAAGGTTTGATAGGTCAGACAAGGAACCAGCATTGACAGTGGATGAAGCCGTCTCTCCAGAAATCTGCTCCATGATGTTAAATTAAATCCTTGGTCCCCAAAAACAATTTTCTTGCACTTGTTTTTCATGAATGAGGAATTTATATACCTTGGTAAGAAGAGACTCTGTCTGGATGTTCATGAACACAATAGGTACTCCAGAAGCCTGAGAGGCATTAAGCCAGGAGTTTGCCCTGGAGAGTGTGTCCTCCAGGTCATTGTACCGAGAAGCAACCCTGTCAGAGGCCTTAGGGAGAAGTAGCATAGACAGAAAGCAGCTTGAATTAGGAACAGGGAGTAACTCCTGGATCCTCCTCTCCCATGGATATGATACGTATCCATCTTGAAGCTGAGCCCTGCTCAAGGCAGAGACCACCCGGGTACTTCTTGAACCTGCAGACCCACAATTTTTCAGTTTAATTGCCGAATCAATAGCAGGAGGATTGCATTGATAACTATATATAATCATTAAATTCTCTTTTGGGGGCATTTTCCTTACGGCTCTTTACGTTCTAAAGATGCTTCAAGCTTTCACCCAATGACTAACAAACCAACACCTCCCTCCCCAACAGGCACACAAGAGTAGCCAAGGGTTGCCATCAAGATCACCCATGAGGCCATGACTTCTACAGATTCAAGCCAATCCAACCAGATTATGCAAAGGCAAAGAACCCTTTTTTCATGGCACCATAAAGTATCTAAAGCAAATATCTTCGACCAATAAAGAAGAAGAATTTGACATCAGATAAAGCCTCAAGCTTGACGCTGATGACCAACACAAAGGCAAGAAAAGAAAGTTGGTTACAGATGCACAAAAGGAATTATGTATATCACGCAAGGGAAAGTTTGAAACACTTCCATCCCTTCTGGAATTACCAGTCTGTTCTGTCGTATACTTTCTATTTGAAAATTTGAACAATTCTACAAATACGAGACGGGCCCAAGTGTCTGATAATTTCTTTGGCATTAATCCATTTCGACTGCAATGGGATTGTCCATTCTGTGTGGCTGAACTTGAACAACGCAAATTTTAGGGCTATTTGTGTGATTTTACATTTCCACACGTGTAACATGGAGGGAGTGTGGCACTGTAATCTCATGGCTCGAAAGTCAAAGGTCTTACCTTGCAGCTCGAAGCACTCGCTTTCCGTCCGGTCGACGAACCCGACGGCATAGTTAGGATCCTCGATCGACCGGAGCATGTACTGCTTCTTCCCGGCGAACTCATTGGGAACGATGCAAGCCTGCAACTCAACAAACTCGTCTCGGCCTCGTCGGATTCTGACATGAATCGAAGTCTCCTTCTTCTTAAACGAGTCGTGCAAGAGCTTCTGCACGCCCTGCTTGCCGTTCTTGAATGGAGATCTGACCCACATCAAGCTCCCGATCTTGAGCTCCTCTACGATGTCCCCGGTCTGAAGCATGTCCCCGTTCCATTCGTCGGCTTTCGAGCTCCCTTTCAAGCAGTCAATCGCCACCACCGCTACTCCTTTAGCTGCTGCTTCCGAGTTCTCCGATCCCTGGTTTCGATCCATGGTCATCTTGTTTTGCTGCTCCTTGAATCAATTTACGGGAACTTGAAGCAATAAACTTCAATCTCCTCCAGTCCTCACTCCCTTCGACTAAACAAACACACACGAAGCTCAGTTTTCAGACAGAGATGCAAAGAACGAAGCTGAACTCTTCTCATTCGAGGAAATATCAAAGTATTAAACCACCCTGAGATTTATAGTTTCCCCGAAGACAAAAACCAGATTCTCACGAATTTAGACTACAGTGAACAAGAATTCTCCCCCTCTCACCAATCAAAAACGAGAAAACAGAATCCTCTCCTCCTCTGGATTTTAAGATTCTGAAAAAAAATAAAGTTCATTAGATTCTGATTTCGCCAAGAATCCCAAATTTATTGACACAAGTAACGATCTCCATCGTCAAGAATTAGAACAAATATTAAAATATCAACGAGGAATAGAAATCCATTAGTGTACGCGGATTACAAGAAGCTTCGCTCGGACAAAAAAAAACGGGAAAGCGTTCAAACGAAGGGAGGGTCCTTTACAGTTTACACTCATTGACGTCAGACCGCCGGATTGGAATAAGTGGACGACGCCCACCACTAAAATCCAGGTCTCCAACCAACCGAGTCAGGTCGCGTGGAATCGCGATTCAAGGCTAAGCAAGCTGGGGGGCCTTGGGGGGATACCATTATTGGTGAATTAATTAAGAGAAGTAAGACTTTAGGGGAGTGGACATACGCACCAATCAACGTGAGGTGAGTATCTCAACACCTGAGTCATCTGACAGCCATCGGATTTATTAATAAACCATCATCTCTGTTTCTCAAGCTGCAATTTTATATTGCAACGCATTGGATCATGAGTCTTGATTTAGTATCGTAGCGGCTTTGACACCGTCCGATGGGGATTAATGAAGTCATCCGGGTCGATAATCCAGTCTCTGATTAGGTGTCTCCACGTTAAGTTGCTCTTATTGGCAGGTTGTTTTCCTTGGATCAGTCGTTAATTAGCCCTCCAAGTGTTTGACATTTGACGGGCTGATTAAGATAATACTATGCTTAGATCGGTACTGTTTAGGGTTTATTCCGATTGCTCCCTGGCTGGATTTATTTAATGGCAGTTGCTCCGATTGCTTCCTGGTTTCTGATGTCGGTTGGTAAAGAGAAATCACAGTTAACGAATCATTGTACGGCAAATTTCCGCACAGATAAAATTTGTTAGGGTTCACTTTGTTTGCGGTGCAAATTTTATTTGCATTGGTGTAAATGAATGGGAGTAAATGCATTGGTGTCCTCATACCTATAACCCCCGACCACCCTGATAATATTCAGATTTGATCCCAAGTCTCCATTACAAAGATTGATGCCCCTTTACAACTACCGATGTGAATTCCCATTACAACTAGCGATATCCACAACCAGAGTTACCATTAATTGGTACTTTGTCTTATTGTTTGTAAGGAGTAAAATAATGTATTATTTGCTTAAGATGATGTGATCTCCCACTTTATCTGGTGTTGCATGTAATTTTGCATCAATCATTGAGATGCAAATTTTGTTCTACTAATGAATGCAACTGTGCAAATGACATAAAAAGTATAATTTTTGTATTATATAGGAGTAAGGATTAAAATATTGATATCATACATCCTGTATCGGTATCAATGTATCTGGATATATTTTTATTTACCAATATACAAATATTTTAAAAAATTTGAAAGGTTTCAAACCTCTTTTGAGACCCTCTCATTATTATAAAATAAAAAATAAACATAAAAGTATCGACCATATCAATACGTGTGTATCGATATTTTCATCCTTGGATAAAAGTGAAAATCATAATTATAATTTATAAATAAATGGATGCAAAATTTAAGCAGAAGTGGAATTTGTATTCAATTCAAATTTCCACCGCAAACAGAACCTAAGACTGTATTTGGTTGCAGTGCAATTTTATTTGCACTAGTATAAATACATGAGAGTGCAAATGAAAAAAAATACAAAATTTGGCTTAATTTTATTTTTGGTTTTATTTTATTCTGTCTTAGGTATTATTTTACTTCATTTTTACTGCAATCAAACAAAAAAAGGTAAATTTTAAAATAAAAAAATAAATCATAATTTACACTACCATGACTTTGCATCAATGCAAATAAACTCGTATTGCAATCAAACACAGTCTAAGACTCAGTTTAGAAGGAATACAAATACAAATATATAAAATGCAAAACTTTACATTTTGTATGTATTTGTATTGTACACAATTCCAAACTGAGCCTAAAAGTTTCATTTGTTTGCAATATAATATACATTTTCAGCTGCACTAGTGCAAAATTAATGGGAGTATAAATGAATTGAGAGTGAATTCAAGTTTGTTTTTGTACGAGACTTTATGTTATTTTCAGTGCAGATGAGATAAAATAAAACAGGTGAAATCTGAAGCAAATTAAATTAGAATTTGCACTTTTATATAGATTTGTACCGGTAAAGATGAAATTACACTGCAAATAAATGTAAGGAGGCACTTTTAGTACAAAACAAGGTCTGAGTCCCCCCATAAATCATAAATTTTAAAGAAGGAAAGTAGGGTTTTATTGGGAGTTGGTAAATATATTGGACCAATTATGTGTCTACATAAATAATAAAACAAAAAGTTACGTATACTTCACTCTAGGTGGATGTATAGACTTTTTTTTATTAATTTAATAAACAAGAGATTGTATTATGTACCGATGGATTGTTATGTTTACTCAATTAATCAGATGACTCTTCTCCTCAGGCTGTCTTTGGGATGTTTCAAAAAGTCAAATCTATATCCAGAAAACTCTAACTGGAACAATAATAATTTACGACTTAGACTAACCTAGGAAGAAAAAACCACATCTTAACACATTCAATTCAACTCTTTAGGCTCCGTTTGAATAAACTTTTACTTTTTAGCTTTGGGCTGTGAGGAAAATGAGTAAAAAAAGTCTAAAGAGTGTTAACACTATTAAGGCTCAATGTACAATGCTTAAAATTGGGGGTCTTTGTTCTTTTGGGCTTTATAAAGACAGAAATCTTGAAGTTTTTTTTTTTTATCTAAGCAGGGTGTAAATTTATCAAATTTTCTATATTAAATTATAAGTAAACGACACTAAGCGCAATTAATTAAAATAATAGATACGATTAGTGTAGCTTTCCTAGCAGCTTCTATTCAACCCTAACCCAACCTTAGTTGAACCCGACCAGCTTCTACGGAATCAATTGTAAATTGAAACCAATCGAACCCACGAGAAGTAAATCACATATGAAATCTAAGGCTATGATTGAACTGAGAGTTTGTTAAATTTTCAAGGATACAAACCTTAATCGGAGTCCGATGAAATTGTAACCCTAACTAAAACTTTCTACTTGATTCGATTAAAATTTATAAATTATACATATGGTTTCAGCCTTTTATAAATAAATGGTTGTTTATAGATATTGAAGCCACAAGTAAAATTTATACTACATGATACTGAAAAACTTTAACCAATCAAAACCCCCTTAAATTTTAATTAATACCACCGGATTGTTGATTGATTATAAACTTTTCTCAGGTATCATGTCTTTGGAGTATCATAATCTTAATCTTTTTTTTTAATGATTTTTTTCTTGGAAAAACGAATATCTTGATCTCGATGGACCTTTGATTAAAAAAAAAATAATGTAGGCCCACTATATAACTTAAAAGTGGGGCACATAACATGTCTGTCGGATAAATACTAGTGGTTCGGGTCAACCCGACAGACCCAACATTACTTATTACATATAGGTTCTGGGTTTCTATTTTGAGTCCTGATTATAATAGGGTTGTGATTAGTTTTATTCACTTTGATTAACCTCGATTCTATAAACATATGCACATATGTACTTTAAATTTTTTTATGGTCGTATTATTTATTTATTTCCTTCTTTTGATGTACAGTCTTGGAATTCAACAAATCCTACCACCCTCGTTCTCGTGTCTGTGGGCCTGTAGTTTCTTGCATATATCTCAACTTGTACTTCAATCATGGATGGTTTTCTGCCGGTTCGCCCGGTTCCCTACAAAAGTATAAGTATGGCTGTAATTGAGTCGAATTTGGATCAAAATATTATTGAAACTTTAAATCTAAAACTTATTGGATTGGATTGAAGTCAGATTTAATTTAAATTCATTTTTGTTATTTTCAAAATAAAAAATTTAAAAGTTAACTTATAAATTTAAATTTAATAATTATATAATATCCATACATATACAAAATTATGTTATATATTTATAATATAAATTTTAATCAGACTTGATTCTTAACTTCGCCAAGCTATCTGATTAAATGGATGCAGATTTTAAGATCCAAATATCAGGTTTGGGATTTTGGAGTACATTAACAGTCCCAAATACAACACTAAACATCATCATAATAAGGTGGACATGCAGACCAGGTGTATCGTGTCGTATTGTATCAGTGACCTCTCAAAATAGTTTTTAAGAAAATATTTTTTAATGGTTAAATAATATTGAAAAGATCTATTCTGAATTTAAAAAAATAAATAAATAAAAATATGATGTATTAGATGCAAAGTACTGATACGCCCCTTTTGGGGGGTGTATTAATGACAATTCCTACTCTGATAGGATCCATTGGATAATAACTGAAGAAGCTGAACTGAAAAGCTTATTGTTTTATATTTCAGTGAATAAGGTTTTAAATAGGTTGTGGATTCAAATGCTGAAGTTGAAGTTCCATATCCCTGATTATTTTATTATTTAATTATTTTATACATTAAAAGATAAAGTAACAACCATTCGAACCCAAATAGTCCCTTAGATAAAAATAGAAAAAGGCAAAGACCATGACGTGGGAAAATAAAAGAGAATCACGAGTGAATGATTTCAGCCACTAATGGAATATGTATCAACCTCACTATTTCGAACCCAAAAAACAACAGGAAAAAAAAATCAATATCAAATGTATTCACCAAATTCCAGTTGGATGGCGACTATTTAGGTATCTTAGATAAAAAATGAAGGCATGGTTACTTGGTTAGGGTTCTAATGGAGCCATTTAGAGAGCTCCAAACATGCTCAAATATCCAATATTGGGGGCCCAGAAGCCTCAATATAGTTTTTAGAGAAGAATTTTCAACTCAAAGAYTCAAACAGGAAAGAGTTTGAGCAGTTCACGCTTCACAGTTCATATAGTTTTTATAGGAGAATTTTCAACTCAAAGAYTCAAAYAGGAAAGAGTTTGAGCAGTTCACGCTTCACAGTTCATATAGTTTTTATAGGAGAATTTTCAACTCAAAGACTCAAATAGGAAAGAGTTTGAGCAGTTCACGCTTCACAGTTCACATAGATATGATAGGGTTGAACATTTGAACCAATATTCGGTCCATTGACACCCCTACCTTTCTTAGCTGGTGTTTGGCATCGATGCCATTGTTTCAGAGCCGTCTTTTGAGAAAACGGT